GAGGTGACTGTATGCATATCGGACTGCACAATGACTCGCGTTGACACAATGACACCTACGCACCAAGTCGTTTTTTTTTCCCTGATACTAATGGCACCAATTTACCGACGTCGGAGTAATGGAAAGCCTCGTTAGCCAGAAGCATGGAATCGAACCAGGGACCGATCCACTCTGTATTTGCATGGCACCTCTAACCACTGCGCTACACGCATCTGATAGATGTCTATGTAACCCTAAATCCACCCCAGCATCTAACAAGACGAAAAGGTAAGAAACCGACGACGAGCTAATGAGTCGACTAAGAACGCATTAATATGAAGTCGACTTTAACACGCATTAGTTTCATTTCCTTCTTTAACCTTTGCCAAAAGAAGAAAATGATAAGACAGTAACAGCGTTTTTCTGGTGAGCTGATGATACCACTTGAAGGGGATGATTTAGCATTAGTGATAATTTCTTAGCTGTGCTTTCATCGACTAATTCAAATTTTCTCTAACACACCGAAATTCATCAAAAGATTTTTCCTAAGTATTTCCATGGCTATTCGAAATGTGGTTCGCTCAAAAGCTAGTAGACAGACAAGCACCAATGTTCACGACGCCATCCTGGCGTTTAAAAGTTAAATAGCAAATATAGAGCGTTGTCTTCAAAGAGTGAACAGATATCTTAATTAAAAACTGAAATAAACCTTTTGAAATAGCTACGGCTCATATATCTTTTCAACTAAAAACCGTTTCTCACCCTAACCATGCCATCAGCAGTCTTCTGTCAGTGAGAGTGATCTGGAGAGCACAAATCGTCACTGAACCCAATTAATCTGAAGCGGCAGCCGAAATCACAGTGTTTAACCTTTAATCTATTGCCTCTTATTTTTCACAACAGGGTGTGACGTGGAACAGAATTATCATGATGCTGAGGTATTTGAAAAAGTGAGACCCCAGGACAGATTAGGTAAAAAAGTGGCTGAGTGAAAGGCTAGGTAAGAGTCCCAGTGGTGCTGTGCGTAACATTTGTGCCCCCGGAAGGGTTAATCGTTGACTCGAATCCGGCCAGGAAGACTCTGAGTTTAACAAATATCTCCACGTAATGCTCAGTATTTGCTCAACAATAATATCGAGAACTATCTCGACATAATGTCAACCTTTTATTTGCTGCCTGCCATAATTTTCTACAGCAAGGTATGATGTAAAACACAACTACAACGATGCTGAAATATTCGCAAAACGTGGACGCTGGTCTAGACCGAACCACGATTACCCTGTCCGGGGCACACCTTTTACACACGACACCATTGAGGCCCTTGCTCTACCTCTCGGAGGTGATTAAATTCATATCTGGCCTTTACAATGGCTCACGGTGACCTACCGATATATTGAACCAGTGCTGCTACCTTCCCAGAAAAGTCTGGTATCAATTTGCCGATCCCGGAGGGATGAAGGGCTTGGTGACCCTGAGGTGCGGGGATCGATCCCATGTGTACTATAGGGCTCATTCGACCACTGCGTTGTTACACGTGCCCCCCGCATCATCCTAATGTGGGAGTAATCGTGGATCATAAGTTAACTTGCCCATCATCTAAAAAGCCGATAAATTTGGACAATGGGTCCTTATCTTTTTCGTGCAAGGTCTACTTATTTATCAGCATGTACGTAGATGCTAATAAGTTTTCGCCTAGGTCTGCTTGCAGTTATGCAGATTAAGAACGTCAGCTCAGCTAAAGTCCTGCAATCAAGTAATTGAAAGGTACACGTGAACATATGTGTGAGCATATGAAGACCCTACATCAAAACCTGGAAAACTCCCCATGAGTGTTATCCACCGAAAACGGTGAAATAATAAACATGATTCTTGTGACCTAAAATACTTCGTTATGGTAGTTCCATGTAGTCGAATACAGAGAGAATGACCGAAGGAATTTTGGTAATAATAAAGGTAGTTTATAATATTGGAAAAAACTGTGGCTCGAAATAAGAGATTTGACGTTGTTGAAGTTCTTGACAACAGAATATCAGCCATGAACATAGATCCTCATGAACAACTAACAAAGAAAATTGGGTGTTTACAATTGAAACGTTGTGGACCAATAATGTCACTTACAGTCTTCGTCAGCAAAGCCCAATATCAAGCTACGACGAAGATGAGGTGGAATAATTCTTCGTGAGTTTCGATATGCTGCACAGAGAATGCTATGCTTTATACAAAGCTATCATCGGTGTTTTCAATACTAGGACTGGTGCCATTAGAACGTATGAGAAACATCGTATCTAGCATCGTAGACTGGAATGCTATTAACAAGTGGGTAATGTTTAAGTCCATCACGACCATTCTTGGCAGTTCATATTTCTAAGAATGGCGCCCAAAGTTGGAAAGGAGAGAACAAACAGCAGTAACAAAATACACTACATCTTTGCAATCCGAAAGTTTTAAGTAATCGGTGCTGCTTTCTTTCAACGTTTTGCACTAGGATGAACCCATTTTTTCTGAGAATCAAAAGAAGCCGCTGAATCTAAGGGACAAAATGCTAAAGACATCGTAAATTGGGATTTTTTCAGACCTTTACACTGTCGTTGCGAAGATATCGCTGTCGACATTCGACATCGTTGGGAAAACGACCGAATTAACAAGCGTCTTCATGAGAGTGTAAAAACGCAGTATTAAAATCACCAAAACTCCCCATGTCTAAAAACAATTGAGCGATCAGAATAACATCCTAAAAGCCCGTCGACTTCTCGTTATCCCACTAAGATGATCAGCCTGCAACGCACAGACGAAGTAATCTGAACTGCTATCTGAAGTACAATGCATGAAATTTTCTACGATTTATTGCTCGATTCCTTTGTCAGCTAACTCCAGCAGCTAACACTTTGGTTTAGGTTAGGTATGTTGTCCATACGGCTCACTCTTCCGAAATCTAATGATAATATCAGTCATTAGCTAGGTGGAAGGAATGCTAGCGGAGATCGGCAATGAAGACTGGTCATCTTTTGAACCTAAAGAAAACGATGACTGTGAGAAATGTACTCGATCGTGATTCCCAATCCATACATTCCACAGAACTAACATCTCCGAATAGGCAACAATGTAGGATTGAGTTGAGGATTCAGTATAAAATATTGTCACTGCGACTACTTTGGTTGTCACTGTGATAAATTTACCTGGTTTCTTATTATCATTGGGTCTGTAGGTTATCTTAATTCCGATGAACAAGAGTAAGGCCAAAAGCCATGTGGATGCACAGCACGACAACACCTTTACCAACTGGTTTATTTTTGTCTATTTAACATAACCTCTCATCACATCTACTGTGTTAATCCCAGCGCTTCTCACACTCATTCCGTTTCCTCGCCCTCATTGCCTACAATGGTCTTCCAACTTTTGTGTGCCTTCAGCTGCTGCTTGAGGATTTTCATTTCATTTCTTGTACGTCGTAGAATGCAGGTCGAGTCAATGCAGTCATGTAATCTTGGAGATAGCCGGACTAAAGCGTTAGCACGTGCATTCGAGGACAGGATTGGGGCTGGGATCAAACCAGCGATTTTTACTTCCTGATCGACGGCATCACTAACCGTGGTGCCGTTCTCGTTCTTACCGACTGGTACTATAACTAGTTCGTCTAGTACAGTCTTCATCATCTAAGGGCAATTTCAACATCAAACATGGGTGATTAGATACTATGTATAAGTTTCAGCGACACCTTTCCAACTTCCTCTGTAACGTTTCCCAACACCGAGATGTTTTAGTTTTTGACAAAATGGGGGTACCACTTACTTTAAACCTGATTTGTCCCAAATTCATTTCTTCAGAGCCTGGAAGGGTATACTGATATGCAATCTACTAGGCCAAACGCTTCAATGACACTTACAAAAAGACGAAAAACTCTTTGGTAATTACACGATCAACAACTTCTCGAAAAACCCACCGCTTTTTCGTGACTTCCAATGAGGAAGCTTAGAACAGCTGATTATAGTCGCATATGGTGGACGACTGCACCATCCCACATCAGAAATTTATGCGAACATACGGGGACAGGTCGCCTATGACCTCCGGGCATTCACCCCTGCTATTCATTGCAGGGTTTTTGGCATTTATCCAAAAAGCCTCAAAAAGTTTTCGCGCTGGTGTTTTAGACTCCTGTGCAAAGATACTGACTTCAAAAATCAAAATGCCAAAAACTCTACAATGAATAGCAGGGATGAATGCCCGGAGGTCATACACGACCTGATCCCGTATGTTCGCATCGATTTTTGATGTGGGATGGTGCAGTCGTCCATCATATGCGACTATAATCAGCTGTTCTAAACTTCCTCATTGGAAGTCACGAAGAAGCGGTGGGTTTTTCGAGAAGTTGTTGATCCTGTAATTACCAAAGAGTCTTTCGTCTTTCTGTAAGTGTTATTGAAGGGTTTGGCCCAGTAGATTGTATATCAGTATACCCTTCCAGGCTCTGAAGAAGGCGATACTGCCGAAACGTCAGCTAGCGTTGTATTGTATTGTGTTTTTATGGAAATAAATGTATGCTGTTTAAAAACCTCGCGATTGCTGAACAAGAAAACGACACATTCATATTCCAACGCCGAGGTTAATAGAAAGTCGATCCTGGGAACTATTTCATTTCTTCACTACCTCGTTTAGAATCCATGAGGTTTAACCTCCAATTTCTTTTTCCTATGATTTGCAAATTATTTTGAACTGCACACCTTTATTATCGACTAACAACATAGTATGGTTAAGAGCTCATTTTCGGCAACTCCTAAACTGTAATACGATACAAATGCAAACATATCAACACTAATTGGTCTACTCGAAAGTTCTACAATGATCGGTCCCTAATACCAGGAATTTTGATTCTCACAAACCAGTAAACAAGCATGCATGGGAAGAAAGTATATCAACATGTATTTTAGCATTCTCGTATGGTCCGATTGGTTGGCTAATTCTTCAGAGAACCCGATCAGAGAAATTCGAATGCAAAAAAAAAAAAACGTTTCATGGTGGGACATTTACGATGCGGTAATGATACGTAGAGTGTTGGTGAAGCCAGCTCCTAGAAGACACTAAATGAGTTAACGTGGATAAAAAAAGGGAATGCGTTGTGTGTACGTCAACTGACCTTGCTTCCAACCAGTAATAAGCACTAATAAATCTCCTTTGTGAATGAAGCCTCTATCCTTCCCGATTTCTATGCCGTGGTTAATTCTGTTGTCGACGTCGGTCGGCCAGTCATTGCAGCGTGGCTTGTCGTAGTGAATGGGGAAGATTCCTCTGGAAAAAAGACATTGTTTTATCGTTTTAATATTTTATACTAATCAAGCCTCTCTATTAAATTATGGACTCTAGAACTGGTTATATTACGAGAAACGGGTGAGCAGTTCAACGCAAGCTTTTACCAGTATAAATAAACTTCCCTTAATTATTTACAGATTGCAAATATTCCTGAATTACCCTAACCGTCGATGGATATCGCGGAACCGTTTCATACGACACGTTTAGGGTTTGCAATCGATAACACCACTTTTTTTGAAACGAATGAAAACAGCAACTGCACTAATTGAACACTAAACCATAATAAAACATAAAGAAATCAATAGAAACAAAAAAATTGAATCCCCAAATTACATGAACAACAGCTATAACACATAGAGTGTTATGCCTTCTTCCATCTGCCTACCTCATTTACACTTAATTTACCAGTACTCACTGCGAGTTAACGTCAACTCGAACAAGTTTATACGCTCTCACACAGCCCGTCAAGTGTCCTGCGCCTATTCCATCGTAGTTTCCGCTTACAGTGTCGAACACAGCCGTGTTCTGCTGGATTAATATCACTTGTTCAATTAGGAGTAGGAATTTCGAATGAAGAGCTTCAACCAAAAAAACCTGTAGACTGCATAACTGCGGTATCCCATCATGGTGAAATAAGAGATACTGTCTTCTGTTTACAAAAAATTGCTGGTTTTAGTGATTTTTACTTCAATTAGTAAAGGTTCCCATAAGTTGAGAACGCTCAAAGGTAGAAGGCTGCATTATTTCCTAGAACGAAGGATTGCCTCCAGCTGAGGCGCGAAACCATTGGAGGAGTCACTTGTGCACTGGATTCCATACTTGGAATTGTTGTTGAATCGATAGTGACGAAGCATGGAGGACTTTTTGTTCCAAGGAAAACACTTGTACTACGATTATTTTCATATTAATCATCTTGGCTGACAGACTGCTTGATAGGAAAAGGCATTTGATGTGTACATGTAGAAGGAATAGGAGGGCATTCCCAATGGTTACCAACCAAAGAATACAACTGAAAGCTCCAGTAGAGCTGCAAAGGCATAATAATGATGAAATAGAAGGATAGAAGGGACACAGTAATGACTTCGATGAAACATGATGTAACGGCTTCCACCAACTCATTAGAACCATAAGGAATTGAAGGCTACAATTAAAGAAAACTTCGTGGACACAAGTGACCAAATAGCCTTTTATTTATAGTTGCTTCTTATTTTGTCAGAAAACTAGCAACTGTTAATTATTCCTCCTCTAGAGCTTCGATGCACGTGATTTAATCTGTTCACCGTTTCGAGGGTTACAAGTCGCGATGATGGTAAAGTGTTAGCTGCAAACATTGCAGATTTTAACAATCGTAAATTGTTTGTAAAAATGCTAAATATGAAGATTGTAGGTTGTAAAGAGAGCAAATGGCATACAGGAAGTGCGAACTGTATGAATTGCAGAATGCAAAATAAACATATTTGAGCACGACTGTTGTACCATTAACAGAAACGCTGAGCTTCTTTCTTTTCTAAAAAGTGTTCGTGACCAGCCATTGTACAACTGCGTTGTATTTACGTCTAAACAAGTCTCTCGCGTGATTCAGCACATGATGATTCATGACGAAAAGATAACATTTTCCGTTCCCACACCCTAATTGTCGGGCAGTGTTCAAGAACAACCGAGACAAATCCGTACACTCCACAACAGCAACAGTCTCTCTGATGGGTACTTTCTCGGTCATCAACAAATTTCGCCAATGAAATAAACGTGTTCAATGAACAGTTTTGTAGAAAGTTACCAATTACAGTGAACAGCTTTCCAGGTCCGATGACCTGAACAATGACCTGCGCTAGATAAGCCATCGACTTATTGCAAAAAGTACAGTAAGAACTTCTCTGCAGCAAAAAGAAAACGAATTGTTATCATTCTAACTTGAAAGGTCGGACCAACTCTAAATATAAATATAGTTTAGACTGTACGAGTTATATATTACTTATAATGGGCCAAGAATGATCCAATCTTTAAAATTCAACGAAAAATAGCTCACTGCGAGCTTTACCATTTCGAAGAAAAAGTGTTAGAATCCACAGAAGTTTGCCAACATGTTACAACGTACGTTAATCTACCACGGTTAATATCGAAATATAATAAAATAGAAATAAAATTACATTTTGCGTTGAATATTTTCAGGAAACCTTATCACAAAAGACAGAAGCTTCGAAATAGAAGTGGTTAGTGAGGAAAAAATTTGTAATAATAACAGAAAATTAGGAAATAATGTGGAAAGCAAGATAGCATTTCGTAAACACCCTAAAGATGCACCATGTATTTGGTTAAATCAATGATCACAACGGTGATTGAAACCATATTTAGCCAAGCTGCAGTGGTTTACTGATGAATAAAATTAAGGTTTTTATCCTCTCATACAAGTCTAGTACTATTATGCGGAACCCGGAGTGATAGTTGTTCCGACTAGCTAACACTGCGTCGAACCTATAACTTAGTGTCTATTTATGAACATCTTTTACCACTTCGCTACACGGGCCCCTTCAAAGTTCCTGTTACACTGCAAATTTCTCATACACATATTTAATGTATGTATGAATGTATGTATGTAATGTATGTATGTAGTGTATGTATGTAAACCCAACCTGAGAAGGAATGCAGCGTTTCTATTAGGAAGCCCAGCTAAGAGTAAACCAATACTAGGATGCACCACCGCCCTTGTACCAAACTCGTCGTATGGTGGCAAACCTCTCCTTGATCTACAAGGGAGGAGACTGCCTGAAGTCGTGACAGCCTGAGGCAGACCTTGGCCAAGCCGAATTCGGGACTCCAAGGAACCACAATGGCTAAGCCAGGAAAACCCCAGAAAAGTGGACAGTTATGCTGGGGGCTCGCACAATCAGTGAGAACGGGCCATCCAAGTATCCAAGTAAGTAAGTATATTCAAAAACGGTTTGTAGCACAGTGGTTACAGGATTCAATCCCACGTCCCAGCTCACCAAGCCTTCCGCTGGAAAATTGTTACTAGACCTGCAGCACTCAGTCGATACACCGGTACATCACCGGCAATCATGGTACACACAGATATGATTCCTATCACCTCTAATGATGCTCGATGAAGTCGAATGCATGGCGCATCTCATGAACTGATGAACGCCGAAAGCGTAGTGCTTCATTTTATATAATAAAGGATAAAAGGATAAAGCTCTAGGCGTCGATCAATCCCTGAGGGATGCACCATGCACTAGACTTCATCAAGTATCGTTTCGAGGTGATTGAATGCATATCTGACCTTTACTACGCCTCGTGATGATATACCGATGTATCGAATCATTGCTGCTATTCCAAGACAAGTCTGGTACCAATCTGTCGACTCTGGTGGGATGGAACGCTTGGTGGGCTATGGGCGCGTGGATCGATTCCACGTGTGTGTCGTACGGCACCTTCGACTTCTGCACCAATGCCCCTTATTTTATACATGTGTTTATGTATATATATATATGTATATATATATACATATATGTGTGTATATATATACATATATGTATATATATATATATAATGCTTAATTCTACGTAGTGCGTAATGTTATTGGTTCAACTACGAAATGTTTCTCGTCCTACTTTCTTCTCACCAATAAAACTGTCGTCAATACACTTTTCTCATTCATATTCGCAGGGTGTCGACACATCCCCTATTCCCACAAAGCAGACGAAACGCCTGAGTCGTCAACTTTCAACTATAAAATTAAAAGTAGAAAATTTTATAAGCACGAAAAAACAAATTAAATAGGTTGCAAAAGGACTCGTTAAAATTTTGCTACTTACTCTATTGCGCTTCCAACTTTTACATCCTTTTACGTCCAGATGCAACAGATAATTTCATCAGGAACATTCTTTAAAAAATTCTTAGAAAACCGACCTGTAAAGATGCAACTGACGACAGACAGCTGCGCTGCGAGAAATCGTTAAAACTGGGACAGGGATTTTGTACCGTGAACAACATAATGCGGACCTAATACAGTAACTATACAGCAGAGGCTTTTTAAAATTATACGGACTATTTTATGGTTCACTAACCGGCCAGTAGTGGTGATAAGAAGAACTGCAGACGCATGGCAACTGAGAGCCGCGCTAGTGGCGGCAATGGCAATGGTCTGTGTCATGTCCGTTGGACGCGGGGTGTTCGCAAGCAGCTCTTCGTAGTACTTACGATGGTATATCGCAGCTTCCGCCTCCTTGAAATCACGGCATTCACAAACGTATGTCAAAGCAGAAAGAAAATGCAAATAATATTGCAATTCGAACCCTGCAGATAAAATGCATTATTTTTAAAGCTTCGATTGGGTAGTCCCCTTTTGCTGTTTCTCCTGAAAGCATCACGCAATCAGCTCCGTCGAGAACCTGTGAAATACAGATATGCATCATTAGTACTCGCAATATAGACAATGGTACAACAAATATCACGAAAAAAAGTTAAAAATCGAAAAAACAGACGAACTTTCGAAAACACCTAAACTGAAATATAACTCACGGCATTGGCGACGTCACTTCCTTCAGCTCGGGTGGGACGAGGTTTCTTCACCATAGATTCAAGCATTTGCGTTGCACAAATAACTGGTTTTCCAGCTCTATTGCACTTTGCGATCAACATCTGTGAAAGGTTTTCATAAAATATGCTAGATACAGTCCAAGATTTGTGACGAGTGCCTACCTTCTGGGCGAGGAACACCTTTTCTGCAGGGATTTCTATTCCGAGATCTCCTCTAGCTACCATTATGCCATCTGATTCACTGATAATCTCATCAGCATTATCCATACCCTGTTGGTTCTCGATTTTAGCAATGATCTTGATATCTTTACCTTTCTCACCCAAAACCTGAATTACGATTTTTTTGGCGACTGTCATATTCTCAAAATAAAAACTGTGTATACCTTACGAATGGTTCGAATACCTTCGGCACTGCGAATGAAGGAAGCGAAAACGATATCGACTCCTTGTTCCACGCCAAATTTTAGATCCTAAAAATTTATTGATGGCTGAAATTTGTCTTTAGAAGGAATCCTTCGTTGCTTAACGAAGCCGAAAACAGTACGTACACCTAGAATATACCTGGATATCTTTGTCTGAAATGGCAGGAAGATCAACAATTGTCCCAGGTAAGTTGACACCTTTGCGACTTCCTAAAATCGCGAAACATCATGCTGCAGAATAACAGCAGAAAGTAAAAGGCGATCACGCACAAGCAACAGAGAGCTTTAAAAAAATGGTGAAGACGCACCAAGCATTCCACCATTCTCCACTGTACAGACTACAGCGTCATCCTTGACTTCGTCGATGATTAGTGAGATTAGACCATCGTCGACAAAGATACGAGACTTTTCTTTTACCACCTAAGAGACACCTAGCATTCAGAAAAACAGTTAAAAGAACAAGAATAAAACCTATACTGAGCTACTCAATCAGCCACAAATTAACTTTGTCATAAGACGTGCATAACTCTTAGCAACAAGAAACCCCTACATGTTCAATTAAGAGTACATACTTTTGCTATGTTTTTGTAATCAACGTAGAGATTAATAGCGGTGCTAGAATCCTTGAACTTCGGATCGGTAGTGAGTATAATCGATCCGCCTTTAACGAGCTCAATCTAAAATGACAGCAAAATAAGTAAGTATAGTAAGTATGCAAGAAGACCTGATTTCGGTACTGCAACAAAAACAGAATTTATTTTGGAATATATCTTGAAAATCATGACAAAACCATTTATTCCTGTCAAGACTGCGAGGAAGGCTATATGCAAAAAGTATTTCTAGCAAAGAAAGACATCTAACCTCAGCTGAAGCTCCTCCGACCAAGAGACCAGTACGGATCTCGGGACCTTTGGTGTCAAGAGCGATTCCAATTTGACGAACTTCATGGAACGATTCGCAAGCCTCGCGAATATTAGCTATCGTCCCTGCATGGTACTATAAACACAAGTATAACATCAACATGGGATTGGAACCTACGACAACCTCACCAGAACCTGTACAAAATTTTGAGTTTGAACAAGTATCAACGAAAAATTCATATCAGAAAATAATAACTGCTGCGATATACGAGTGCCTACTTCCTCTGCAATGTGATTAATCACTTTGTAAACTCGCTCTTCTTCAACATCATTAGGGATGAAAACCAAACACTGAAGTCATTCGTAAGTAATCATGTAAGATTAGAAAAACGTTTACTCGAAATCAAAGATTTATAAAGTGAATATAAACGGATATAAAGTGTATACAGGACTTTCGACCACATCGGCAATATCGCGCATTTTCCCACTTTACCTTCATTTAACTTTCAGTTTGCTTCTCCAGAGAATAAAGAATTAAACGCAATAACTAAGATTCCTGAACATGATTGTTCAAGATAAGCACCGACAAGTTGTCTCAACGAAAAATGTTTTTGAAAACATCTGAACTGGATTGTAGCAAAAAACAAAATCAGCTTGTAATTTTCTCGTAGAATACAAAACGTTTTAATCTGTCTGTATAGTTGAAAAATTAGCAAAACACCTAGAAGAAAGGCATGATGCTTAACGAGTCCCATAAAGCCAGCTACTCTTGCAAGCGACAGGAAAAATTGAAGGGTTACTGGTAGCAGCTCGAGTTATTCGACAATCAACAGGACAACAGGTGATACAGGTGTGGCGGTAGTTCATAATTTACTAGGAAAGAAAAAAGCACGCGGGCGCCAGTAAATCTTCCATTTTTCCCTGTCGCGTGCAAAAGTAGCCCAGTGGGTTCTGCTCGCTCTAGAGATTCGTCGAGCATCATATCTTTCTTCTAGGCTTTTCGTGAAGAACTCTGACCATCGGGTCGGTCGTCTTCCATTAGTACGTTTAAGATCCCGAGGAATCCAGTCATTAACGGCTCTTGTCCATCGGTTGTCATTCATACGCATTACGCGTGCGATCCACCTTATCATCGACTATCTGGCGTACAGAACGGCATCTTTGACTTTTGATCGTTGACGCAGATCGGAGCTTCGGATCCCATCCCTTATTTGTGCGAAAAGGGATGCTCCTAGCATCGTCCTTTCGGCTGCGCGTTCGACAACACTGAGTGATCTTTCATCCTCTTCACTACATCCTCGGTGCTCTTGAAAGCTCCCCAAGCCACTCGTTTCCTTCTGCTCAACTCTGGAACTAAGTCGTTCATCATATTGATTTTCCGACCTAGATATACACAACTAGAGCATTCGGAGATATTCATTCCGTCGAGCGTAAATGGGGCATACGAAACAAATCCATTACTCATGAATATCGTTTTTGTGATACTTAGTCGAAGACCAATCTTTCCACATGCGTTATCAAAGAAAGTCAGCATTCGTTCCGCTCGGTTAATGTCTGGTGTTATAAGGACGATGTCTTCAGCAAATCGAAGATGGTGTAACTGCCGGCCATCGATTTTCACTCCCATATTATCCCATTCCAATCCTCGCATGACGCTCTGGAGGGTAGCGATAAATAATTTTGGCGAGACAGTATCGCCTTGCCTAACCCCACTTTTAACGTCAATGTTAATATCGTTGTGTAATGGTGATATTTTGGTTGTGAAATTTTTTGACAGCTCACGAAGAACTTTTATGTACTGAGTAGGACTCCTTGACTACCAAGGGCTTCCATGATTATTTCTATCTCAATTGAATCAAAGGGCTACTGTAATTCGATGAAAGTGGGACAGAGCGGTCTTTTGTACTCTCACGTGGTCCAACGTACTAAATCCTTTTCGAAACCCTGCTTGATCATATGGCTGTCCTTCGCCCGGTGTTCTGTAAAACCTTTTTAGGACGACTCGAGTGAAAAGTTTGTGGATGACAAGCAGCAAGCACATTGGGCGATAGTTGCCGATATCGTGAAGATCACCATTCTTGAGCAACAGCACGGTCTTGCTGGTCCTGGTTCTTGCATTCGGAGTGGTAAAGTGTGATGAGCCAAGCCAATGTGTTTACGAGGTCTGGCGGAAGGTTTTCAGGCTTTTTGGTATTTTCCTGTCCGGACCTGTTGTGGTTCGATTTTTCAATGACGATGGTATAACATATCCATTCACCTTTATTTCATATAACGGAAGGTGGACGTGGGTACTGAAGAGATCCGAGTAGTATTCGTGAATGATTTTCTCGGTTACCTTTCTGGATGTTGTAACTGTTCGTCTAGGCGTCGGAGTGCAATCGTCTTAGTCTCTTCAGAATTGGCGAAGCTTCGGTGGGCTTTGTGAATGGTTTTCCCAGCTTCTGCAGCTTCGACCAATACTGCTACTTTTCTTTCTTTAAGATCTTCTTTTACCACCTGTCTTCATTGTGTTGCAAGTTCGGACGTTATTTGGTGGTTGCCTGCAGCTCGTGCGATTCCACGCAGGCGTATAAGCTCGAGTGTTTCTGGAGACAGACATCTCTTGGTGACTTTCGAACTCTCAGCTTTCATAGCGCTAACGTGATGATGTTGAATGAGCCGATCGTATTCTTCGTCAATGTTATCGACAACAGTATCTTCCCAACAGCCGACTAATGATTTGAATAACTTCTACTTTATGGTCGTTCTGTGACTTCGGTTTTTGAATTAAGCCGTTTTTTTCTCCCTTACGCGAGAAATAGAATCTTGCACGAAGGAGACGATGGTCTGATCCCATGTAGAATCTTGGGACAATGGTAACAACGGTAAGGCAACCGGTATATCGGTAACCTATTTACTATGATCTGGCCTATTTCGTTATAGTGCTCTCCAATGGGAGATTCCCACGTCCAGTGCTTAGGGTGGGGCTTCTGGAATTGCGAGTTACCACGGATGGTCTCGGTCATCATGACAAACTTAACAGCCGCTCACCCTGTTCGTTTCATTCTAATCCGTGGGTCCCAATGTGATGTTCTTCAGACGTTCTTCTTGGTCCAATCTTGGCGTTGAAACCTCCAATGATGATCTTGAAGAACATATGGTCTTCTGTGTAGAACTTCTCCAGGACCATATAGAACGCTTCGACTTCTTCGTCATAGTTTGATGTCGGTGTGTAAACTTTGAAAATTGTCAAAGTCGGTAGTGATCCACATCTTTTTGATCGTAAACATCCGTTCAGGTTGTAAGTTGCTCGAATGAGCCGATGTTCATGGGCAACTCGTGGTGACGAGAACGCCGACACCGCCGACTCCTCTACTGTCACATGTTCCAGGGAACAGTTCTTCTCCGGTGTCTTAGACGACGTTGAATGGGTGGCGTCATCTCGTCTCGGTCAGGCCGATAACGTCGTATCTTATCCTTCTTGCTTGCATGAGCAAGTCTTCTACTGAGGACTCGTACGCAAGTGCACGTGCATTGTAGGTACAGTTCGCCACCTTAGTTTTTTGCAATTCAGGCAGCTTCCATTGACCCTGAGATTTCTGCAGCCTCTCCGTACTCGTCGTACCCAACGCTGCGAAATTGGGGTTAGGGGAATGAGGGCCGTTTTTTTAAACCGTATTTAGCACTTTGATACCCACGTATAGCTTGCTGGGTTCTGAACATGGAGGCTGGGTATACTCATGGGTAGCTTGCCAGGTTCTCCTAGAGTGGACATGGAGCTTATTTGTTGGAGGCGACTCCTAACCAACTCCCATATACTTCCTAGTCACTTGATTACAGGCTTTTGACCGAATTGACTCGTAGAATACAATCCGCATAAGCAAGAACGCACCCACACACGCGTGCATGAATACGCCTAGCAAATACAGAAAGTATGTGCCAAATGAGCGCAGCAGAAACAGGGAGCCCATCCCCTGGGTCCACCTGCGTCTCAGGGAAACAAAGGTCGCTTTTGGTCGGTGATTAACCCTCTATCCGCCATCTGGGGACGCGCCAAGTAGCTTTGCGACCAACCGGTTCAAGATCCCTCATGTGAGGAAGATCTGTGGAACATTGTATGAACACGTGACAAACGAAGTTCAATCATGATCCAAATACAAACCTTCCAGCATTCGATAAATTTTGAGACAACAGTACAGAAATCCAATAATTTCGATGTGAGCTTAGAAAATGAAAGGGCTACTATCTCGTAATAATACTTGGCAGAAATCGCGGAAATGAGGATATTGATGAAGTTATTTCCTGCTCAACCACATACCACTAAATCACTTTTTATACCGGTACCTGGAAAAGTTTTCGAAGCACTAATTTTCTATGTAATTGACTGTCTGTGGGATACGTGACAAGTGCAGAATAGACTTTGATATGGTAGAATCTCAGCGCAGAGAACTACTAAGACATTTTGGATTCATTTGTAGGAGCAAACAAACTGTACGGAGTGGCATCTAACGGAAACTCGACTTATATATAATAGCATTAAGACCTCAGAAGACCGAAGAAAAAAAAGATCGGAAAATGATTTGAAGTAGCCAGTTATGTGAAACTTTTTTACTTTTATATAGCCCATCTTCATGTCTAGTGTGTGGATCCCTACACTTCTCACATTCGATTCGTTTCCTCGCATCCATTATCTACGAATATCTTGCAACTTCTACGTGTGGCTTCGGCAGCTATTATCGATTCTCCCTGGAGTCAGGAGATATCCGCGCTGAGCGTTCCCAATTTGACTGCAGAAAGTAATTTTTCCCAGACAAGTCCGGTACCAATTTCCTGACCCCGGAGAAATGAGAGGCTTGGTTGGCCTGCAGCAGAATCGAACTACCACCACCCTCGTGATGGCCGACATCACTACCACTGCGCTAACTGCCCCATGCTTACGTGAATCAATGTTATGGAACGCGGCACGCCCAAAATTTCGTAATTCGCTACCGCAATAAGATTTGAAACTTTTGTGTACGACTAAATGTCAACCTGTAGCGATTTCTTGACGAATGGGGAGCTTCAATTTTTGAACCGAAAAACAGTAGAAGGAAAATATACAAAAAGATATAAATAATGTGAAACATATGGTTATAAGAGCACTATACCTCGTGAGTACCATGAGAGAAATTGAGGCGAGCGATATTCATACCATTTTGAATCATCTGTTGAAGCATTTCTACACTGCGACATGCGGGCCCTAGAACACGAATCTTACATCTAAAGAGAACTACGTCAAGTACATTAGCTTTAAACACCGCTGACGATGAGCGTTTAATATGTGAAATAAAGCACGAAGATTTTCCTATGGATGTTAATGATGACAAAAAGACAACGGACTGTCTTTAGAACATGATGTTTCTTAAGACATCAAAATTTCAAGAAGCAGACTTTGCCAGTGGAAATCAATTAATGTAAGGACGAAATCAGTTTAACTTATGAGTCAGCTCAAACCGTACCAATTGTACAAATTATTCCTGTCTTCCGAACAATATGAGGTGGTTCGCGGATATCAAGCCGACAAAGGTGCTCAAGGTGAGTAGTCGCGTCATCTCCGATCTTCTGCTCCTGTCTGAAACAATTTCAAAAACAAAAAGTGTTGCCAAAAATAGCGACCCTTCAGTATACCAACACTGTAACATAGATCCCAATTTTTGAAAAGTGATTAATTCCATCTCAACATCAGGAATAATCACCGCCTTGGTATCAAACCGTATTAGTCTTGGTATAGTGGCAAATCTCCTGATTCACAACGGCGGCGATTTCCTATGATGATGACTACCTGGGGGCAGAGTTTGGCCATGCTGACCTCGGGATTCCAGAAAGCCACAATGGCTAAACCAACAAGACTCCAAAAAAATGGAAATTATGCTAGGGTCTCAACAACCGGTAAGGACAGACGATCCAAGTACCCAAGTATCTGAGATTAATTCCATTGCAGACGTACAATTAGACATATCGTTACCATGGAGATGCTTTTCCGTGGTATACCTACTGCATCAGATATAGATTGGTAAATGGAATTTACCAAATAAATTTCACAAGCTTAGGTCATCGTATCAAATTCTAAGAACTTCTGAATATAAGAACCTGAGAGTGTCCTTGGAGTGTAGCAAACAATAAAAAACTAAAGAATTTTAATCACCAGAACATCCATAGAACAGTCAAACCATCAACATGGATCGCATGATCGGAACTTACATCTCAACCGATCCCCAGTCAAATTTTATTTTAACGGGACCAGCAGCTTCCTCCATAAATGGATAACGTTCGCGAAACTCTGTACAACGAACTATGATGAACAGCGTAAAAAAAAATAAACTGAATTACACAGATACTAAAAATCACGATGTTAACAAAGTAGACGAAATTAAACATAGAAAAGTGAACATTTGTAATCAAACGGCATTAGACGACGAAAGCTCCAATTTTTGATGCGGAAACTAAAATAGCTGAGGGTGCACTCTAGGAATGCGGAAGGGAAACTAAAGTGTGCGTGTGCCGATTTTGACAAAAAAAAACTGTAAGAAGGCAGCAAAAGAGGACCATCTGGCATGTCACGAAAGCTCTATCGGCACAAATTACAACAAGGTACTTCAATATCGGTATGCATGTTAAAAGAACATACGAAGAACTAGCAACGGAGCCCACAGCTGTGACTTGGAGATCGATAAAGTCGTGGTGGGTGGCGATGAAAATTCGCCATACACTTGGCACAGAATTTCATTACAGTTTACTAAATCATATTTGTGATGGATTTTATAGACATAGTCTTGAGGTAACAGGCTATGCTAGGAAGGGTTTTCAACAACCAAAGTGAAAACCAAGTGGGAATGGGAAGAAGAACAGTTCATACCGGCGAAGTCATGGTTAGAGTCCATAGACTCAAGTTATTAATGGGACTAAAGTAATGGTGAATCTACGGAACATTGCTCAAGTATATGAACACTGTCAGATTGAACAACTCTGTAAACAATAAAATCTATAGAGGAATTAGATAACAGTGTAAGTGGAATTTCCGCTCCACCATACAGAAGAAAGACGACGAGGGGAACTGGGAGCACGAATGATGCAATTCAATCAGTATGCGCGAACTGCCTTTGTAACCATAGTCTATATAAATGTGGGCGGTCATTACACAAAGATGATTCAGGCAACCATTGAAGTCACGAGATTAAGAGCTTTCGAATTTACTTTCAAGTGTTGGAAAGTCCCAAGATGTAACCAAATCACTCTATTCTTTCACTTATCGCTCACATATTCACGGTCTACTGAAGAACTTTCTTTTCAAAAGGGAACATTAACGTGGTGAGAGAACACCACCGATTACCATCGATTTCTCGAAGCAATCTAAAGCAACAAAACTTACACAAAATATTCTCCCATGTGCTCTTCTTCCATTGTCATACGACGCGCCAGCTGCGGACGTTTCGTCACAGTGGACTTGACTTCTGGTACTGAATCGACCATCTCCTCGTTCTAAACACTAGATTTGAAAGAACAACTACAATCAATGATTGCATACTAAAAAAAGCCTATTAGGTTAAGGTTGAATCAGAAACAATAGCCAATTTCGAACGCGAACTTTGATATGACCAAATACGATTACAACCTGCAGAGTTCTGCCAACGGTATAGAATCGTACTTGGCTCCATAGTAGGACCTTCCAGGGTTCTGGAAGCGACGAAATTTTCTAGGGTATTTTCAGCAGCTGTAAGCGTCGCAGGTTTTCTACCTGGATGTCGAGATCTTTGAAAAAAAAAACTGACAGCTCAGACAGTGGTATGGCAGGTGATCTTCACCTCTGTCCAATCATCCAGCTAAACCCTGACACCTAACACTCACTTTTCACCCAACATCAGAATATACTAAGAAATCAGCGGTTTTCGTTGCACAAAAGCAGCACAAAACAGGCCCCGTGACGACGACTTTGTTGTCATTCACTCAGTTTATGCGGGTATCGAGCTTTCTCACCTTCCACGGCGTTCAAGATGATCAATTATCGTTGAATTGTCAACACAGAGTTTCACATTAGTTTCCCGTGTATCTTTCCATAGCAACATTTTCGGTTGCCACTTTCAGATGGTCGCCGTGAACTGCTGGTACTGTTCACGACTTTCACCGTCATGAAGACTCACTTCTCTGGTATGAAACCATAAATAACATTTACACCTGCTATGGAAGACAGATCGACCAGCGGGAACAATACTCATCTCAACTATCAACATAAAACCAGGTATTAGCTTATTTTCTTTCGCGTTGTTGATTTTACCGCACACAGGTTTCCTTTGTAAATTTCCCGATCTATCGATGGCTCACCCAACATGGGCCATTTCACAATGCGCTGAAGCAGAAAAACTATACCTGTTGTCTTAATGACGTATCCAAAAAAACCTTATCGGACCAGTTTGTTTATCAAAGTACAGAGACTGTTGTAACTGGGAGAGTATAAAACAGCATGGGCAACAGATGCGGAGGCAGGTCTGTCGGATTGATGAATAGATGGATCTTACGAATTAACCTCAATTCGCAGTGCGTGAAATTAAGAAAAAACAGACACCATTTGGTGCAGCAAAAATATGAAGCCAAGCAGAGAACTCTAAATATTTGTAACATACTGCTCATTGAAGCTAACTATAACGGTAGTGTCATAATGGAACATGTGTGTGGCAACTACTAAGAAAGGTGCTCCGATATTAAAAATTGGTGCTTAATAAAATACAACTGACTAGTAAGGAAACCAGGACACGACTTTTTCCCCAACTAATGAGATTCACCTAAAAGGCTAGAGCCGTTTTTAATATTACCAATTGACGAAATTTAAAATTTATAGTTCCCGGGATCGACTTTCCATTAACCTCGACATGGGATTACAAATGGGGATGAAATTATAATTAAATAGCAGGGAGGAATACCCAAAGAGCTTATGCGATCTCGCCCGGTACCTTCGCATCGACTTTTGATGTGGAGTGGTGCACTCATCAACCATATGCGACTCTGATCAGCTGTTCTTCCACAGTGGAAGGTACGTAAAAAACGGTGGACTTTTCGAGAAGATATTGATCGTGAGATTGTCATTTAGATTTTCATCTTTCTGTTTGTGTTATTGAAGCTTTTGGTGTAATGAATTACATATCAATATACCCTGAGCGCGTTTGGCGCAGTGGTCGGAGGCGCTCTGCAACACACACGCGGTATCGATCCCCGCCTCCAAGGATCGCCAAGCTCTCCATTCCTTCGGAATAGGCAAATTGGCACCAAACTTGTCTGGGAGGATAGCATCACTGGCTCGATATATCGGTAGGCCACCGCGAGTCAATTTAAAGACCAAATATGCATTCAGTCACTTCCAAACGATGCTTAAAGAAGTCGAATGCATGGTGCATCCCTCAGGAATTGAAAAACGCCGAGAGCTCTATCTCTTCATCCTTTATCAATATACCCTTTCAGGCTCTAAAGAAGGCGATACTGCCGAAACGTCAGCTACAGTTGTTGTATCTGTTTTTTGTACTGAAGAAATATAATTCATAAACGTTAGCGATAATATGAAGGAATCATTTTGGGGGTATAGAACGTATCACCCTCCACATAACCAAATAAAAATGCATAATTTTAAGCCATTACCAAAACTGTGATGAAAAGAGGGATGGTACAACTGGGCGTAGCTGAGATACAACTTAGTACTTAGTGGAAAAAGTTCGTTTCTTGAAAATAAAAATGGACTGTGAAACATGCGAAAAAGTCAGGATGTTGCCGAAGAAAGGTATATAGGAAATTGCTAAGTAGACTGTAGGAAACTGGACGACAACTCATTCAGTTAACACCAACGCAACAACATAAACTCTACAGCAGCCATATGCGTTGAGCATTATGGCCACTAGCACCTCTACTGAGACCATTTTCCTTCCGATAAATTACTTTGGTACACAGAACTCTTCTCTATATTTTCCGCAGTCTTTCGATAGCTTCCACAACAAAGATGTAGTAGCAGCTATTGTTTATCGAAAGCTATTCTCTACATTTAACGACTCATAAAAAAATCATTCTTTCGACAAGCTCATTGGCGGACGTGGACCAGAGGCTGTCGATGGTGAACAGAAAATGCACCACAGAGCTATTTTTGTACTAAGTCAATTTGTGGACGAGAGGCTGTTGCCAATGGAGAGAAAGACCACGCGAGAGCGCCCAGAGACTGTTACCCTTCAAGAAAGAGCAGATATGTCTCTGTTGCACTTCAACAGTGATGCTCGACAGTTCGGGAAGGTCCTTCGCTATGATGAATTGCCAAACCACTGAGAAAACTTCTTCAGAGTGGATGAATGTTCACACGGTATGGGTCCATAGATGTGCTTCGAGTTTGTTTTCAAGAACAGATAATAAGTCTTATTACAAGCATAACTGATACATTGAACATGGTTTTCAGAAACAAGTAGTGTAAATCATACGACTAAGAATGTAACGACCAAAAAAAAATTCTGAAAGTACTGGTTGCTTCACCGTGTGCAGTCCCTATAGTGGATCATAGTTGTCTTATAGACTGAGTGGATATATAACCATATATTTCTTTTACATCTTGTACGGCTCATCACCACATCTACTATGTGGATCCCAGCACTTCCTGTATTCGATTAGTTCTCCTCCCAGCGGTTCTCCATAAAGGTCTTCGAACACTTCGCGTCTTGTTTCAGCTGCTTCTTGAGGATTTCGCCTTCTTCATAAATGTCGTAGAATGCTGATCAAGTCGATTCTCCTGAATCCTTGAGATAGCCGGTCTACAGCGTTCCCACCTGGAATGCAGACAGTGTACCTTCCCTATACAAGTCTGGTACCAATTTGACAACCTCGGATGGATGAGAGGCTCGGTGAGCTCGTGGGAGGTGGAACCAGCATCGTGCCCTTGATGAACGACACTACTACCACTGCGCTAACCATCACCTCACTTTCCGCCGTATTACAATTCTCAATATCTGGATTTGAAAAGAAGACAATAAGGACGTCTAGCACATGTCCATCGATGGCTGCCTCTCAAGACACAAAATTGTTCTAATCAGATAGAAAATTGATAGACCGCAAGAGGCACGGTGAAAAACGGGTGGCATGCAAAGGGCACGTAAACGCGCCAAACGATTTATCATAAATAATTGAGCCTGCAGCAAAATGAGAGCAAAAATCTGGATGTCTATTTCAATTACTAAATGTAGGGAATAAGGAATTGGAAAGTTTGCTTTTTGCGTTAAACTTACGAAGCGTTTCGAAACCGAAACAAGTGGTGAACAAAACTCATCAGATTTCATGTGCAGATGACAACTGAAGGAATCAGTGCTTAGGGTAGAATGATTTGACTCAGATGCTGTGCAATTCCTCAGGTGGTCAAGACTACTCAAAACGCGCAGGTAAAAAACCGGACAGAGTTCACCACGACTCTGTTATTTTTACACTTTCTGTTGACACATACGTGATTCTCGAATAAACACTTAACAAGATGATGCATGTTTTGTGTGGATGTCGTGTGGGACGGCTTTAACGTTAATGTTGGTTATCTACCTGCTCGTTTTTCGATAAACGGAGAACATGAAGGTATGAAAACATAACGGAATTGTAAACAACACTTTGTTTCATAGTTCCAGAGGCATACATATTAGGTATTCTACTTACTATATGTTTCTATATCCCACCATAAAACCGCATTTGATCCATCATATAACCTCATCCCTGTCACCATTTCGAACTATTTTGCACCTTGCGTCGAGTTCATTTTTATGTTTGTATCCGCCTATTCTACATATCATCCATGATTCATCATAGTGATTGGAAGTGAAACAGGCACTCAACTAAAAGTTTAATCACCTGTGAATGAAATGGAAAAAAAAAAGTACTTCTTCACAATTGTTAAGTGCAAGGAGTGGGTTTCCTACATCGAGGGGAATAAAACTGGGCATCATGGACGTCACCAAAGCGTTTCTGCTCACTAAAGAAAGTGGTAAAAGAGAAAATTCCGTTTGTACTTCCCGCTTTGAAGAGACTGGTATGTCGTTTTATGAGAAATTTCACATGAAGCTGGAAAAGGCATATCAGAAATGCAGTGTTTGAAATGAAGGAAAAGCACAAGGAATGAAGAATTGCCCATTCTGCTTCGTTTGTTATTTGCACTCATGCTTCACCTCTAATGAGTATTTAGCAACCCTTCTACTATATCTTATTCAAATAAGCTATCCGAAAATATGCAATGAATCCAGAATAAACAGTTGCTCCTAAAAATCTCAGATATTTTAAAACACTGCCAGTTCAAGAGCCATGGGCGGTGTACGACAATATTTCCTCTGGACATCTCTACGAATAAATGTCGATCCCAGATGTTCCAGACTAAAATGTAGATCATAGAAAGCAATTACTTCCACTTCTAAATGATTCTCTACCAGTTTCTACAACAAAACACCATCATACAGAAAGAATGTTTCACAAGAACGCCCCCGTTGGAGCTACCCAACAGAGAAAAACCTTCATTAAAGACAAGTTTTAAAAACTTACTCCAACATACCAGAATGTGCAGTTTACCCCAACAACAGAAACTAAACGAACAAATCAGAATTCGCAAAATCATACCTCGTTAGCAGAGCTATCACCAACAAGATGCAAAACTTCGGTTAGTTTATGCTCCATTTCACTCATTTTTTCTCCGACTTTAGCGAAGAGCTAAAAAACATGATGCAGTCAGAGAACAGCAAGATGTGCCAAAGACATTGCTGCCCGAAAAAATTGGGTTAGTCGTGAAAACTGTTACTCACATCACTCATTAGGAAAGGTTATGACTAGCGATCACGTAGAACAGTGATTCTCGAGACGGTCGGCGTTGTTGTAAGACTTTAAGCGGCTGTTTCGGGGCGTTTCTGATGACAGCAGTGCCACGCGAACACAGCAGCCGAATCGATTTGATCGGTAACCAACTGAATGACGCTTGAGCAGTGTGCGGCGGGACTGCACGGACGAACGACGAGACTATATACGCGCACGCGAACGGGGGGAATCGTCAGCACCACCGTAAGGACACGGCAGCACGCAGCGATCGTGAAGGCTACGATGCTATGAAAAGGGAAAAAACAACTACCTCATAGCAAAAAATCAACGGCCACGCACCCATTGAAGGTTGATGGAAAAGAAAAAAACCGCAGCAGTAGAGGTCACATGACAGCGCTTCACTTTACATGAGGGAAGCGCTATCGATTTCGACACAGGAACCCGAAGTTCCCAGAATTATTACGTTAAGGATTCCCTCTTCGATTCCGGTGGACCGCACATGTGATATGATAAGCGCTGAAGGCATAACTCTACTGCAAACATTGAGAAGAGCAGACCGACTTCATAAGAACGTCGCGTGTTTCCAAAAGTGCACTTTGGTATTTGATTTCCTTTGTTTCCACATGAATAAATATAAATAACGAAAAATACACATTGGAATGTATACCCGGAAGCCATACTGTAGAGCACTATCCAGGGTTCAACCTTCACCGTAGATGGCATTAAGGCCAACAATCTTGCACCATGAACATTGGACTAGGGTTAGATATTCAGCTATTGTTACAGATAAAGGATAAATAGAGGATAAAGCTCTCGGCGTTGATCAATCCCTGAGGGTTGCGTCATGCATTCGACTTCATTAAACATCGTTTGGAGGTGAATGGATGCATATTTGGCCTTTACAATAACTCACGGTGACCTACCGACGTATCGCGCTAGTGCTATCATCCTTCTAGACAAGTCTGGTACTAATTTGACGACTCCGGAGAGATGGAAAGCTTGGTGGGTCAAGGGCGCCGGGATCGATACCATGTATCTTGCAGGGCGCCTCCGACCATTGCGCAACGTGTGCCTTATAGTTGCCGATACGACATTGATAAGTTATCAAATCGATATCGACAAAAATCAGTAACTCTAAATCCATAGCATGTTACAAGTTCGATTCTCGATTATAGCAAACCGCAGGGTCGATCATCTCAGCGAACGAGGATCGATGGGAGGTGTCATCGGTCGAGGATGAGCGGTTGAAATTGTAGTATACCAGAACTACAACATCTTATCTACCTATACAGGCTAAGAGCTACCTGGTAAAAAGACCGCATATTTTCCTGCTCACAACATTTCGCCTTTTTTCATAGTAGGGTATTTTAGTGGAAGCCATTTTCGCTTGCACTTTCATTGAACTGCCTCTTGTCCGACATCAAGCTCTTCCACAGGGGCTTATATCTCCAGCAGAGAAAACACCAAGTGCTTTTTAAACAGCGACAGAACTTTCAAGAGTATCAGCAACAATAATCTGGCTTGCACCAATCCAAAAACATCAATCGACAGTGTCTTCCATGCTGGTGGTATGTTGTCTCGATCCTTACCTTCTGAAGTATTGTCGAAACTCAGTCTTCCAAATTGCGCGCTCTTAGAAAAACCTCTTAAAAAATCTTACATAATTTCACCCAACCAGTAACACTTTCAAAACTCCTTTGAGAAGCCTCCTATCCGAGTTACAATGCAAGAGTAACACAACTCTGCGCTTTATATTAAGATGAATTGTCCTGCACTCGAGTCTAACAAAACATAATATGAATATGACGGAAAGGATGGACCAACCACACGACGGAAATAATCTGACTACGACATCAATTTTATAGAAAAACTTATACGATGGGCAAGCAGCTATGGAGAACTTGGGGAGCGACTGCGAACGGCCGCCACAAAATCAATAAGCTGGCCCGACATACTCACATGTCTTCAATCAGTACGAAGACGAAGCAGCAAGAAGAAACTGGGTGATTATCACTTCAGCAATCAGAAAAAGGACGGACGCCGAGAAACTATACAACTTTATTTAAAATCTTTCATACACTGAAACAATAGGACTTCAAGTATTTGTAGAACAGCTTAATTAACAACCATTTTTATTAGATAACCTCGGTAACAACAAGCCGCAACAAAGGATTTACAGTTTGTCAAGGTAGTTGTCGAGAGCTGGCACGCCCTCTTTGAGGCCTTTACGTTTCCTTGTCTCAATGACGACTTGATTAGGCTTCGTTCCAGCCTCAAGAGGGTCTCCAGGTAAAACTTGCCAATGGTCGAACACACACTGTGGGAAAGCCTGGCCACCAGTATTTGAACGCAAATCGGCAGTGAAACCTACAATGCGGAAATCTGTTGTCAGACATGAAATATGAGAATAGATTTAAATACTTACCGAATGACTCGTTTACAGGCAGGTAAGCTTTAACGACAAACATAGGAGTTCCAGCAATTTGAGACTCCTCAAACACGTGTCCTCTTCGACGATTGAGCACACCATAGATACCACCGACCGCAACCTCAGGGCACTGGATCTCAACGAGATAGACTGGCTCAAGGAGGCGAGGAGCAGCAGTAAGCACGGAAGCATAGATGACACGGCGAGCAGTGGGAATTATCTGACCGCCTCCCCTATGGATTGCGTCAGCATGAAGTGTCACATCCTGGATATCGAACCGAATTCCCCGCATGTGTTCGTCAGCCAACACTCCTTCCCTGGTTGCCCACTGGAATCCAGCAACGACCGAATCTTTAATTTCATTCAGATATTGAACTCCTTTAGTGACGTCGACCAGAATATTGGGGCCTGTTCCGTCGGGACCAAAGCACCAGATTTTACGAGCCTCAGTAACATCATAATCATACTTTTCAGCAAGAATCTTGGCACGAGCCTTGAACTCATCTCGTGCGTTGACAGTTCCGTTCTCAATATCATCGGCTAAACCGTCGGGCATAGGTTTTGCAGTGGCATGAAGACGGTTGTGCTTGTTTGGTGATTTCGACAGACAAACTTGACTGGATTCTTCTGAAACTGTCTCTCGATATGATACAACGGGGTCGGACTTTTTTAATGGGATGCAAGCATGGTCTTCTTCAAGATCCTTCAGACATATTTCAAGATGAAGCTCTCCAGCACCGGCGATGATGTGCTCACCGGATTCCTCGAAAATACATTGCACCATTGGATCAGATTTCGCAAGGCGTTTCAGTCCTTCAACCTTAAAAACGTAAATCCTTATGATGAAATAGTTATAACACCTAAACTTTAACATTTTTATACAAAAACGCGCACCAGTTTCGGTAGGTCAGCGGGATTCTTGGCTTCGACGGCAACACGCACAACAGGTGACACGGAGAACTTCATCACACGCATGTTGTAAGCATCTTTGAAAGTGGTTATTGTACCTCCTTTGACGAGATACTGATCGACACCCACAAGACCTGCGATGTTTCCGGATGGAATATCCTCGATAGGTTCGATATAACGTCCCATCATAAGAATTGTCCTTTGGATAGTTTTCTCGTATAGGTCCTCTTTCTTTCCAGGAACATAATTTGGTCCTTGGATACGTGCTTTCATTCCGGTAGCGACTTTTCCAGAAAACACACGCCCAAATGCATAAAAACGCCCCTTGTCGGAGGTGGGTACCATCTTCGAAACGTACATCATCAGAGGCCCGTTGGGATCACAATTCTTAATTGCAACAGCTGCTTCATCGTCATGAGGACCCTCATAAAGCATCTCCATCCTGTATTTCTGAGCGGTGACAGGAGAAGGCAAATGGATGCAAATCATTTGCAACATAGTGTCTCCAGCAGGTAGCCACTTCCTCATGAACACCTGTATAGAGATTGTAACAGTTTAGAAAATGCAAACTCAACAAAGTGCACAAACCTTCATTAGAGGCTTGCCCTCAAGATCTTTCTCATCATGCGCGAGCTTAATGCCGAGTTTGACAACCAGATCATCGACCTGTTCTTTTTTCACGTTCATAATTGCATCGAAGACCTAAAAAAATATAATTCACAACAGAGTGGACAAAAAACCATGGATTTTAATCAAACCTGGGAAGAAAAACGAAACCTAGGAATAACTGGATGGAAATACAAACAACATGTCACATTGATCATTAAAAATGTAGAACTAGATACACTTCACCGTTACCAATAATCGAAATCTGAGCATACCAAACCTTGAAAATAGGGTCCAGTACAAATTGATTAAATCCTCTCTTTGAGCCTTCAGTTTGGGTCGAGCTCCACTTTTTCGTTTTCATATCGAAGAAACGATCACCCCAAAGGTTCTTCATCAACTTATCCACCTAAAATAACCAGTAGATGTGCAGCATAAGATCTACTGAAATTCGCAGAAAACCCTACCTGAACTCCGAATTTGTCGGCGTACATCTCAGCGAACTGCTTTAGAGTAAAGGCCCATCCGTGAAGACCGGAACCGAACCCTACATTTCCTACAGACGGATCAACCATAATGGGGCCCATCGGGCCTTCATCATCACCATAAGTAGCAATGATGACATTAATGTTCTCTACAATGCGCTGGAAAGTCTGAAACAATTCCTCAGCTCCTAATTGCAATTCCAGGAGTGCACGGTCCATCTTGTTCATAAAAAGTATAGGCTTTATACGCTCAGCAATGGCTTGACGGAGCACAGTCTCGGTCTGGACGCAGACGCCTAAAAAGCACAATTTTCTTTTTAACTACATGGAAAAATTGCAGAATGCAGAACGCGAAACTTGTATCCCACCAGAAACACAGTCAACTACAACAAGAGCTCCATCAGTCACACGGAGAGCAGCAGTTACTTCAGAGGAAAAGTCCACGTGACCAGGCGAATCGATCAAATTAATTAGGAATCCATTGAATTTTCCTTTTTTGCCGTCCACCTCAGTGATTTCAACCTGATTCTCTCCCTTGATAAAGTTAAGATCCTTTTCATCAAGCTCGAAGAACATTGAAATGGCACTGCAAGAGAACAGATACCATATACAATGCGAAAAACCACCTGGATGATTCCAATAGGAATAACTCACGTAGATTTAATGGTAATACATCTCTCCTGCTCATCTTTTCGGGTGTCAGTAAAACGAGTCTCTCCAGCTTTAGCACCGGCAATAATACCGGCCTTTGAGACGAGTGAGTCAGTAAGGGTCGACTTCCCGTGATCGACGTGAGCAATAACAGACATGTTACGAATATTCTTCTTCCGATCCATAAGGGCTCGGATCTCATCGGTAGTGAAGTTCACCTGAAATAAGTCAATAACATTTTAAGCTATTAAAACAGCTACAGAAGTAAAAAGACAAAGAAAAACTGGGACCACTCCTAAAATCAACGAGTCGCTCTTAAACCTCGTACATTCAAACAAGTGCTGAGAATGCGATCGATACGGCTTCGAACGTACCATGATTGGCGATCGCTGTGCTGCTTACGGCAACCTCCTTGACAAATTAACAACGGGTCCACAACCGCACAGACGAGGCGGCGAGCTGGTGGAGCTGGAATGGAATGCCACTGTTCTCGCCGACGAACTACACGCTTAAGCACGTCGATACGCAGCGATTACGGTCGCGCGCGCTATTCAAACCACCGGTTTTGCTGCCGACTGGGTCTAGGAATCGTCCAGCCAGTCTCCGGGATCAGTTTGCTGCATGTTTTTTTTGTTTTCGTTATTTAGTTCGTTTGTGTAGATTTCGTGGTAAGACTATAGTACTGGCATAACTTTAGTATTGAGAGATAAGACCTTTCCTATAGTGGCTTTCTTAACTTAAAAGTGAGCAGAGGGGATAGTTGGCCGTTTTCCCTTCTGTGTCTGAAAATTTCCCGCTCAGTGGTATAGTTTGAGGCGAAATTTAGTTTTCTAATGCTTCTCCGCGTATATTCACTTCGTGTAGGTAAGGAATTTGACCGATGTGTCATAGCTCTACTAATTTTCTCATCTAGTTCTCTTTGTTAAGGCAAGGGTACTTTTATAGATATACTTTGTAAATGGTGAAATGACTTGACTGAGTTGATGTCTTGTATCATTTTCTTCGATGATTTTAAGCATGACGACATTCTGCCTGTGTAAAAAACTCATTAGTAGTGATGTTGACGGATTTCCTGACGTCAGGATAGGAATTGTAATTGTCTCTTACCCACAGATCAGATAATATTACTACTTAGATACTTGGATGCCCGTCCTCAACGGTTGTGCGAGCCCAAGCATATTCTCCATTTCTTCTTAGTTTTACTTGTTTAACTATTGCGGTTTCCTGAAGTCGTGAGGTCAGCCAGGCCGAAGTCTATCCCAGGTCGTGACCACCATAGGCAGTCGCCGCACTTGTGGATCAGAGGGAGATTTGCCACCAATCTAGTTTGGTATCAGGACGGTGACGGATCCTGGTACCGATTGATGCTTTTGTTTTCAAAAGAGGGCCTTGTGAATCCAAGGGGGGTCTTCCACTTTGCGAGTGGGTTTCTTCTGGGACTATGGCGATTAATGACATAGGTTTTCTGATATCTGGGTTCTGTGTATAAATATTGGACAGCCTATCCTTATATGCTGCCGTTAGAGCACATGCCCTTCGATGTATCGCATTTCGACCTTCAGAAGAAACCCTTGCCCCGATGAAACCGTTAACTATCGACGAAGGTGGCGAGCTGTCGAATTGATCATTGTTTACGTATTTAAAGCTTTATAGATTATGGTCCAGATTCATTGGACTAGTATTTTTCTGTGTAAAAGCATGCTTAGACCTTTGCTTGAACGTTTACGCTTTTTCCTAAACGTATTGCTTCAGATGGAGGTTGATGACCCATACTGTCTCCTCAAGGACGCTACAGATTCTCAAGCTTCGCAAACATCGAATACATCGACATCTTCATTAGCTATACAATTCTCCGCCGAGGATTTGCAAGAAAACAACGCCAATCTTTACCCTTTACCAACTCTGGAAAAAGTATTAGATGAGGGAAAGACGAGAAGATTGAATAGACGCTTGGCTCTCACTAACCTACTGGTCCCCAAACTCACCCAGAAATTGGACGATATCATTGATCTCGGGACGAACGAGGTTAGGATCTGTTTGTATGTTTTGCAAGTTTCTTCTGATTCATTGTTGAGGTCGACGTAGTCATCTATTAAGGATGAGACCGATGACTTGAAATGGCTGAAGAAGAAGTTTCCATCTATTAAGGACGGTTCCACAAACTCTGCTGTAGGGTTAGTTATCTGTGAGTTATCTATAATTTTGCAGGTGTTTTATAAATTACTATTCCAGCTCGCCATCGGCAGCTAAAGTCACCCTGACTACCGGTATGCTGCGGTTTCCTTTTTGCTGAAGGGTGCTGTGTCCAGTATGGATTATACACTTTGTTTTAGTAGCCACCCAGAGATCTTTAAAACAGTTGCTCGAGAAGAAACTGGCAGAAAGGAGGAAAATTGGGCTTGAAAAACGTAAGCAGTTGTATATGAAGGATAATGAAGACATCTTCTATGGAGAACAAGAACAAGAAATAGATGAAGTGGAAGAGCATTCAGAATCAAGGTTTGTTTTTGTAACACATTACAGTGCCCGGTTGGAATCGTGTGTGTCTTCTTCGGGACATTTCAATAGTCAGGGACAGGACACGGTTTATTCAAGGTTTTTATACAACTTTGTTTTCATTGGTATTTTATGCTAACAACTACGGAGTCTTTTGAAGCCATAACTTTATTTGTTTTGTGCCTACGTAAACTGATAAAGGTATATCATTAAAATGGATAGAAATACTGTTGAAAGAATATGAGTCGTTGGTTCGGTTTCCTTTCTTTACGAAGAAAGTATGTAGTGGAATTAAATACCTTTTTTGAAAATGGAAAGAAAAGAAAGGACGGTTTTTCCGACTAATTCTTTGTTTTTTAGATCCTTTCTCAATCATACATTAGTGGGTAAGGTTTTGATACCTTGTTTTCAAATTTCCACATTGCATTTCTAGACATATAAAGAAATATCAAGGAGTTGGTGAAGAAAGTGAACACGATGAGAACTATAACGGTGATGACGAGGAAGAGGAGGAAGAAACGAGTCCTTCGATAGGATCGGAGAGTGACGGAGATGAAGAGGAAGAAGTACGGTGGCCGGTTATTCACGTTTTTTTCTAATTTTAAATGCTTTTTCAATAATTCTGTTATCTTATTAGGTTTTCGAGACTACCACTGATGTTCCTGAGACGGCAAATATTTCTGGCCCGAAATCGACCGCCACCACAAACCCCAAAGATATAGGCATGGTATATCTTGTTTTCGTGAATTCTCGTTTTCTTTCTTCTAGTTCATGAATGCTATAGCGTAAGATTTACAGCGTGGATTATCATTTTCAGTTCATCAACTAGGTGATAATGATTTTACTGATTTTAATGTCATTGGAATTCGTCTGGATTCATTCTCTTCACCTGAATAAATTGCATGGAGCTCCTTTAATTCAGTTACATTTTCATATAGGGGATAGGTTTGTTGACTAACTAAGGTGTGCTTCTTTGTTACTGCTAGGAACTGCTGTAAACCCTACAAATAACTATATTAGATATTTTTAGAGTCTTAATGTAATGGTGGGAGGAGATGGAATTTCCGAATCAGGTAGTGGAATGACACAGCCCATGTTTCCTAGCTCGCTTTCTCAGTGGTTTGGCGATAAGTTTGTCTTGGCACTTCTCGTTGTGCTCTGAAAAGTGTTGAAGTAAACGGCTGTGTGTTTAGGACCGAAGATGAAAGCACTGAAGCGGGTCACTCAGCAGTGCAGACTCCTGGTGCGTTTTTTAGTCGCTCTGTTTTATATAAATAAAAATCACCACTAGTATGAATTGTGCTAACATTGTGCTGGTGTTTTTTTATCCTGAGATGGAGGGTCTTTGATGCGTTAATGATTTTAAGGTTTTTTGATAGATTGTGCTTGCAGTGATGTCCACTACCAAAATTTTTGTTTAGAATTCGTGAATATTGGGACGTTCAGCGACATGGACCCATTTAGAGATAACATCGAAGACGACGTTCTTATGTTTTGCTCAGGTCGGTTCGACAGTGACGACCTAACGCGGCCAACAGATGATTGCGTTAGAAGTGAAGAAGTGTTGAGGTTTATAAAGATTCCGTTTTTCTCTTTGCATATACTTACTTGCATGTGTACATAGGTACGTATATATATAAATATATATGTATATATATGTGCGCATATATATGTATGTACTGTTATAGAACATTTAGTGGTTCACAAAAGTTGCACCAAGTGACATCAACTCGAAAAAGAAAACGGTTATTGGAATCTGATGAAGAGGGCAACGACGAATCATTGGTTTCCTTTCCTGAAATTAGAGATCGAAGGGTAGCTTGTTTATCTGTGGGACAGGTTGCACGATAATCGAGTAGTCACAAAATTTCAGGGTTCTGAAGAAATGGAGTCCGATCCTAATTTATTAAATGATGAATCCGAGACGAAAACTCCTGTGCTGCGACGTACCCTTGTGGACTCAGATAACGAAGCTAGTGACCATTCAATTGAAGCAGAACTGTCTGATCAGAAAGAAGAAGACAACAACGAAAAGGAAACCGAGAATGGTTGGTCGATTTCTTCTTTTTGTTTTCCTTAAGAGCTTAAACATAGCATGTTTTCTGTTCTCAAATCTTTATACACGTTTTATATCTTTGTTTTTAAATCTGGACAGTTTAGGGACTTAGGGAGTAACTATTGCGCAAAATGAGTTATATTAAAATATCTTTGTAGTGAATTCTCGTTCCTTTTTGTTTAAATTCCTTATTTTATTCTTTTTAACCCTTTCGATTTTTTAATTTTTGACTTGACAAGATATTATTCGTGAAGATATTTTAGTATTTGGTTGGTTTTTTTTTTAACATCTTGACGATTACGTGCTGATTATTGATGGAAATTCCTACTTTGCGTATGTCTTCTCTGTAGGAAACGATTACGTCGATGATGAAGCGGACTCCGATGATGAACTTGCTGTTATGAGAAATTTGGAGAAGTATGTTAGCACTTGTAGTGGCTTTGTGATGCATTTATTTTAACAATTTTCTTTGAATGTAGCAGTAAATATTTTGTCAGTGGGTTTTGCCAACTGACACGTTCAGGGTCAACCGCGAAAAATGGTTCGACGACGAGGCTTCGTTGTCAGGGGATGACGCGGGAAGTGGCTTGGACGACGACGATGATCTCCCGAATGAGTACGAAGCAGAAGAAGGTGCGGAATAGCTGTTTAGTTGTATCGTTTACTGCCTTTAACTGGATTATGTCTTTTCTACAGGTGACGCTGATGACGTTCCCGATTCGGATGTGATTAGGCGACAAAACCATAAATTATTGCTGAAACAGGAGAATGATCGAGATTATAAGGAGTTAATCAGATTACAAGATCGGTATGTGTTCCTGTGCATATCATATGAAGCGGTCACTTGATTGATCTTTTATGTTTACAGGTTGTTGGCAGATGGTGATCTCGGCAGCTTAGAAACTAACAGGACATTCCGGTTAAAACTCCGTGAGGGTATGGATGTTGAAGATGTTGTTGAGGAAGATGCAGAGTTACTAATTAAAGAGAAGGATGAGATTATCTCTCAAGCAAGTGAACGACGGGTTTCAGCGATCAAGTGGCTCATGGAGCATGCAAGTTTTCTTCATTCAGCTTACTGTTTTAGTTTGTTTTATTCTAACGTGAGTCGCTCGCATCTACCTCTTGCGTCAATTATTGATTATTTGAGTCGAAATTAGAGATGAATTGCTCAAGATACCGTAATTTAACTGCCATATTAACACGTGACGCCTGGAACTGGCTTTTAGGCATCTAGTGATTGACAATTGTTAATGATAAGTTCTCGATAACCAGTGTATTTTCAAGGTTTAGAGCTGCAGGGATTTCAAGAAGAGAGTTTACTCTGGTTTCCATCCGTCATTTTAATTTTCTAAGGTTTAGGAATAGGATTTTTGAAAATTGAAGGTAGAATGTTAGTTTTTAAAACTTCCGACGGGAAGGTAGCAGCTGCAGGCATAAACGACATATTGGCGAATAACATCCTGTCACGCTGGAAGAAATCCAACCTATTCAATTACTTTCGTGTTTGAAATACGGAGTTTGAGACAAACAAATAGTGGAAAATATTTGTTGTCCGAGTTCCGGAATATTAGTGTTTCATCTCTGTAGAGTAGGAAAACTTGCGTTTTGTTGGCAAAGGATTACAAATCCTAGCTGTTTTTTTACTTTCATTAATGATATTCGTTGTGAACCAAAACGTGCCGCGTTGAAGTTGAAAGCACACATCGAGGGTTATGCTGAATAGCTCTGTATTTGTGGTAAAAAAAAACGCTCTCGGTGTTCAACAATCACTGAGGGATGCGCCATGCATTCGACTCTATCATGCATCGTAAGAGGTGATTGGATGCAGATCTGGCCTTTACAATGAGTCGCGTTGGCCTACCGATGTATCGAGCCAGTGCTAATATCCTCCAAGACAAGTCTGGTACCAATCTGCCGACTCGGAGGGATGGTAGGCTTGGTGAGCGTGGGGCGCGGGGATCGATTCCATGTGTGTTGCAAGGCGCCTCCGATCGCTGTTCTACACTGTATTTCTGGTAGGATGGTTTATTAAATTGGCTTTTTCTTGTAATGAAGCCATGTGTAATTGTGTTGAAAACATTGACCTGGTGTTTCTCAATGTGGTTTTTTGGCAAATCAAACGCTATGTGGGGACAGTCTGGTTTCTTTCTTAATTAGAATAATAATTGGTTCCATATGTAAGAATGCATATTATCTTCCATCCATACCTGTATTTAGAAGAGATACTAGAATAGCTATAATAACCTCTTTTAGTTCTCCTTATTTTATAACCTTTAGCCTGGCTTCTGGTATATTTAGAACTTTTCAGAAAGACGAGTATCAAGCGGCTTGCGAAGAAAAAGATGAAGAAGAAAGCGATGTATTTGACTTAGCTGCTCAGTCAGTTCATATTTCTACTCATGCTTCAGCGGATACTTTGTCTAAAGCACCTCGAACCTTACTTGGGCAGCTTAGTCTGGGGAATGCTGTTAAAGATACTCCAGGTATACTTTGCGTATTCCACATTCTCGAGTACTTGGCGTTGGATTCATGACTATTTTGAAGAAGTGTGAATTCAGGCACAACTGGTGTGAAACAGTTATACGTGAGTAGCTCTACGATAGGGGTGCAGAAACGCCCTTCTTCTCCAAAAATAGCGCTGGCCAAAAAGCGACGAGAGAACATCAGTGTGCTGAGCGTTTTGGAGCAGCTCTAAGTCTCGTTGCATTTCGGGTCTCAGATCTCGGCTTTTTTAGATTCAATATGTGAACTGGGTTAAATTTAAGAATTTTTCCCAGGCCTCCTCCTATTGAGCAGTTGTCGTATATTTCTATTATGAATTCTGTTCATCTCTTATGATTTCCAAATGGGTTGTGAAATGAATAATTTACGATTAGGTTACTTTGAAGTATTGCTTATTTGTCACTGCCATGTATATACATCTGGTAAAGTATTTGAAGGGAGATGTTATGACTATATATATCCTACCACACGATCGGTGTCAAATATTGCCATATCTTCATTTTGAAATCTAATATCCCTGCTTAGCCGTTTATCTCAGGGATCTCGGGTATGCTACAGTCTGTACTCGCTCGTAGACGAGGGATATTTAGTGTTATTTCAAATGGTATGTTGCAGTGCAAATTTTCTTTACAGAGAGAATTCGTTTTTTATAAAGTGTCATTTGTTCTCCTTTAAATGCTAGCGTCAACAATCCTGTGCCGTTATGCTGCGGTTGGCTCTAAGGTCGTGCAAACGAAGGCAGACAAAAGCGCAATAGAAGAAGATGCTGAGAAGCTGGCTAATTATGTTTGCATCAACTATTTTATCCAAGATGAGTAATTGTCACATTCTTTTGTCTATTGCTTTTTTCCTTATTGTTTGTTCAATCATTGCACTGTTATATCTTTCTCAGCCACTGTCTGAAATTGAATCTCTTTTAGTCCATAGAACAAGAGTGCGTGTAGTGCAGTGGTCGGAGGTGCCCTGCAACACACGTGGAGTCGATCCCCGCGCCCGTAGCCCACCAACCCTTCCATCCCTCCGAGGTCGGAAAATTGGTAGCAGACATGTCCGAGAAGATACCAGCACTGGCTCGCTGTATCGGTATGCCACCGCGAGTCATTGTAAGGCTAAATATGCATTCAGTCATCTGCAATAATGCTTATTGAAGTGGAATGCATTGGGCACCCCTAAGGGATTGATCAGCGCTGGGACCTTTATTCTTCGTATCCTTTATTTTAGTCCATAGAACAAATATACTGATTCCATAAAGATTGGAATCCATAACGGTTCAGTACTTGCTTCGAATTAAGAGCAGTGTACTTACTACTTACTGAAGTTCCACTGGAAGTGTTACTTATTGCTTAACATACCAAGATATCGTACTTGATAATTTGTATCGACATGGAGCAGTAAGTTCACAATTTTCAGGTGATGAACCTGGGCCGAAAATACTTCCAGACTCAGAATACCCGTCCTGGCTTTTCGAGCTAGATTTGCGACCTGCGTGCCCGCTCGAGGATTTGGACCCTGAGAAGGTTATGAATCACTAGTTCCCATCGACAGATCATTTATGACTTTCTGATAGCATGTACTTTTTCAGGATGGCTGGCTCTACTGGAGAGCTCTTCGAATAAGGCAAATTGAACAAAATCGCCGAATACAGAAATTAAAGACGAGGTATGACATTGTTGTTATTGTTGTCATAACTCAGCAGTGGTTACGAACCTAATCACAATGCAGTTGGTGATGAACCACGTCAATGTTAGCTTCATTCCACATATTTTGAAGAAGTCACAAAACCATGATGAAACCAAGACATCAAGGAAGGGGTAATTCCTGGGTTTTGATTAATACAGTAAACACTATCTTATGAGTGTGGGCGCTATCAATCTGATTATTGAAAAATTATTGATTATATAATGAATACATGTTACAGGTTTCTTCATTTGCAAAGCAGTCCGAGTATGAAGAAATTTAGACGGTTTTAACAAATATTACCTCAAAGGTTTTATCGATTAGTTTTGTGGTACATATTTTGTTGTATTTGTTGTGTTACTATCTAGTTGAGCTTATGTAACTCATCTAACAAGGATTTCTTCAGCTACGTTTTTGGGTTACTGTTTTCTGGGATGCAGACACCATAAAACATGAAGATTTTCGGTAAAACGAGACGTTTTCGGAATACATTCCACATACACGAAGTGGCTGAAACCATTCATGTAGAAAACGTGGCGAATACTATAGTGATTACATTTCAAAATGAACATAGTGCTAGTTGGCTAGTGGAATAGAGAGGAGTAGTTGGTTGGATTTGTCTTCTAACCGGCAACTGTTGATGGAATGCTCGACTTGGTATTGGTTTGCCATGCCTCTATTTTTTCAGAACTGTCGTGAACAACCTCGAGATTGGGTTGTAATAATTTATAGCAATAATAACAATACAATAATGACAATGTAACGATAATATCTTGTTAAGTGAGCGTGAGCGAGCAAGACTGAAATGAGGAAGTTATGCAAACACTAGAGTTGGAGCACTAGGGGATTGAAACACAAGCACTGGTTTGGTGACTAGTGGTTCTCCATATATTCATCTGTAATGGGTGAGGCTTTACAGAGGAAACCAGAGCCAGTGATCAGAGAGAGGTTCTGAGCTTTCTCAGTTACTACAATCTGATACAGTTGTACAGAGGGTTTGTGAGGGCTATACAGTGACTTATACAGAAAATGCATGTTACAGCGATGTAGTGGCTTATACAAAAAGTTGACTGGAACAGCAGATGCTGGAAAGTACATGCAGCTGACAGCTAATCATTCAGTGCCCGAATTGTCGGACAAAGAAGAGCGGTTTATACGAGGAAGTTACAGAATCCCTTCCTAGCCAGGTGCCAAGCAGATGCGTGAGATGGTCGCTAAGATGAAATTTACAGAATGTGCAAAGGTAGATGTACGATGAATGCAAGTAAACAGTTATTATAGAAGACATAAGATAATTTAGAAATAGGAACTATTCATTGAATAGTTACTATATATAGTGGGAAAAAAATCCTCATCTGCAATGTAACCTGATAAAAGAATAAAGATAGAGCTCTGGGCGTTGATCAACTCCGGAGGGATGCGCCACGCAATCAACTTCATTAAGCGTTGTTGGAGGTGATTGAATGCATATGTGGATTTTACAGCGACTCGCGGTGGCCTACCGATGTATTGAGCTAGTGCTGCTATCCTCCCAGACAAGTCTGGTACCAATTTGCCGACCCCGGAGGGATGGAAGGCTTGGAGGGCTATGGGCGATGGGAGCGATTCCACGTGTGTGTTGTAGAGCGCCTCCAACCACTACGTTGCACTCGTTCGGGGAGAATCCATCAATGCATATAAACTGATGAAGACAAAGAAAATTCGATATACAGAGTTGATCAATCCAGCAGGTATTCGACTTCGTCAACATTTAAGGTCAGAAACGAGTTGGCTTCCACGCACCCGGTGCGAAAATAACGGCACATCCAACTTTAAATTATCATATACCAGCTGTTGGTGAATTTTATTAATTGAAGTAGGAACGATTAGAATCTATAGACCTTCACTATGATATACAAGATCTGCTATGCTACCAAGGTCTACCGAGCCAGTGCTGCTCTAATAGTTTTATGGTACCGAGAACTGATAGTTTTGTCACATTTTTTTTGAAATTGAAGCCCGTATTTTAGAAAAGAAAGCAGTTGGAGTTGTCCATTAACAAATGTTGACGTCCCCACCTGGGTTCCGTCTGAAATCTTAAGAATTGAAGTTTCGTTTTCGTTTCTACTGGAAATTTCAATTTCAAATAACTTTAAAAGCGAAACAGCAGTTTCCAGGGACCGTACTTACTCAGCTGCATACAGCAAAGCTCTTCTATGACCTGATCACGTTTTCAGCTCCTCAAATGGTACGATTATTGACAAATTAGCGGGAGTTTACAAAGAACCAGCTTTGGACGTTAAGTGTTAACTATCTCAAATGTGACTGAATGCGCATTTGGCCTACACAGCTTTTATTTCCTCGGATAAATTTGTTGTAGCACTTTCACGAATTCTTAGCCAATTCGTCTTCAGATGTGAGACCGGTTATTCTTCTTTCACTTGCTTCATTGTATTGTAGCTATCGAAATGGAAGCGATGAGATCCTTCTACAACTTGAGGAATTGTCCCTTCCATATAGAAATGATGAATGGTGGTTGAGCAATACTTTCAGGGGAATGTTGAGATAGTCATGCTACGGCATACTCAGATCTTCAATACAAGAAGTTCACTACCTTTCACGACCTTGAATCGGAGGCAGCTTAACTCACTAGCAAAGGCGATTTTCCCAAGAAGATAGGGATTCCTGTAATTGATCCAGGGCGATGTGACATGGCAAATCTAGCTCACCCTTTCACGACCATGCGCACTGATTCCGATATGTACCCTGCTGTACCTTCTAGACCATACAGCTTGATTCTAATGCTCACACATTTTTGTGGCCTATTTCGTCGCACATAGTTTTTCAGCCAAACTTTTCGTAATCGATCGGTACTTTGTCGAAGACAAATTTTATATCGAAGCCAGTGGGTGGATCACCTGCACCACCTATCGTCCTGTTGATTGTCGAATACCTCGAGTTGGTGCAAGTAAATCTTCCTCGCATGCAAGAGTAGCTCAGGGGATTCTGCTCGCTCTCGTTACTCGCTGAACAACATTCTTCCTTCCAGGATGTTAGTGAAGAACTTTGACCATTGCGAAAGTGGTATTCATTTTTTGCGTTTGATATTCCGAGAAAGCCAGTCGCTAACAGCACTTGCACATCGGTTGTCGTTCAAATGCAATACGTGTCCAGTCCGCTATATGCTCGATACTTGACACATAGAATGGCGTCTCAGACTTCTGATCATAACTGAGCTTCGGATCGTTTCCCTCACTTCCACGACACGGGATACTCATAGCACCGTCCTTTCAACTGCACAATCAATAACGCTGGGTGGCCTTCCATCTTTCTTAAGCAGCGTTGAAGTTTATGACGCGTATGCTAAGACAGGAAGTACCGTTGAGTCGAAAAGGTGGGCACGGAGTCGGGTGTTCTTGGTTCTCTTCACTATATCCTCGTTGCCCTTGAAAGCTCTCCAAGCTGCTCGTTTCGTTCTACTCAGCTCTGGAGCTTAGTCGTTCATCATATCGATTTCCCGACCTAGAAAGACATAACTGGAACATTCGGAGATATTCGTTCCGTTGAGCGTGAATGGGGCATTCGAAACCAATTCGTTCCTCATGAACATCGTTTTTTTGAGATCTAGTCGAAGACCAATCTTTCCACAGGCTTTATTAAAGTCGGCAAGCATACGTTCCGCTTGGGTAATGCTTGGTGTTATAAGAGCGATGTCATCAGCAAAGCAATGATGGTGTAATTGTCGACTGCCAATTTTTACGTGTTGTCCCATCCCAGTGTTCGCAATGATATTCTGGAGGGTGGCGGTACATAGTTTTGGCGAGTTGGTATCGCCTTGCTAAAGGCCTCGTTTGACGTCGATATTAATGTTGTCGTAGAATGGCAATATCTGGGTTGTGAAATTTTTGTAAAGCTCAGAGAATTTTCATGCACTAAGTAGGGACTTTTCGAAATCCTGCTTGCTCACATGGCTGTTCTTCGTCCAGTGTTCTGTCAATCCTGTTTAGGATGACTCAAGTGAAAAGTTTGTAGACAGACAGCAAGCAGATTGGGCGACAGTTGCCGATACCGTGTTGGTCAGCCTTCTTGAACAATAACACGGTCTTGCTGGTCTTCCACTGAGTAGGGTTCTTGCATCCAGACAGGTACCGCGTGAAGAGCTGAAGCGGTGTGTTTATGAGAGCTTGCGAAGAGTTCTTCATGCATTCGGATGTTATTCGGTCCGGGACCTGGTGTTGTTCGATTCTTCACCGACGAAATAGCTTGTCGGATTTCGGAAGTAAGAACAGGTGGAACGACATGTTCATTCTCCTTTATTTTATACGAAAGCAAGAGAACGTGGCTATTGTAGAGGTTCCAGTAGTGACCATGAATCATTTGCTCCATCGTCTTTATGGAAGTTATAACTGTTCCATCTGGGAGTCGAAGTGCAATAATTTCGGTTTTGCAGTTGGCGAAGATTCGGTGGGCTTTGCGAATGCTTTTCCGAGCTTCTACAGCTTCGACCATTACTGCTGCTCTTCCCTCTTTAAGATCTTCTTTTATCATGTGTCTGTACTATTTTGCAAGTTCGGAATTGAATTGCGGTTGCCTGTAGCCCGTTAGATTCCACGCTGACGTATCAGCTCGTTTTCGGAGACAGATGTCGCTTAGTGACTTTCGAGGAGTCAGCTTCCATAGCGCCAACGTGAAGATGTTGAATGAGCTGATCGTATTTCTCGTCGATGTTATCAATAACAGCACCCTCCTAACGGCTGAGAAGTGAAATGAATATATTCTTTTTTTTAATTCAACGACTTTCTCTTCCGCGAGAGCTGAAATCTTGCACGGAGAGATGGCCTGATCCTGTGTAAAATTTCGAGACTCCAGCGACATCGTTTAAGGCAAGCCTTCGATTTACCATAGTGTAGTCTATTTGGTTATTATGGTACTCTACTGTGCGAGGCTCCCATGTCCAGTGTTGAGAGTGAGGCTTCTGGAATTGCGAGTTACCACGAATTCGCTTAGTCGACACGACGAACTCAGACAGCCTGTCATCCCGCTCGTTGATTCTAATCCGTGGTTCCCAATATGACGTTTTTCAGACGTTCTCCTTTGTCCAATCTTAGCGTTGAACTCTATAACAATGAGCTTAAAGAATGTATTGTCTTCTCTACAGAACTTCTATATGCCCATATTGAATGCTTCGAGCTCGTCTTCATCAGAGCTTCATGTGAATGTGTAGACAACGGACACTGTCAAAGTAGGTATTGATCGACATTTCTTTAAACGTAAAAGTCCGACTCTAGCAATGAACAAACTTATGTTGACGAGAACACCGACGCCACTAACTCTTCTACTGTCACATGTTCCGAGGAACAGTTCTTTTCCGGTGTCATAGACGGCGCTGAATAGGTGGCGTCGTCTCATCTCTGCCAGGCCGATGACGTCGTACCCTATCCTTCTTGCATGCGTGATCAAGTCTTATATCGAAGACTCGGATGCAAATGTAAACTGTAGGTACAGATCTTCACCGTGGTTCTTTGCGATTTAGGCAGCTTAGAATGGCCCTGAGATTTCAGCAGCTTTCTGTACTCGCCCTACCCAACGCTGCCGAATTGGGGGCTCTTTCGGGGTCAGGGAACTGAACGTTTTTTAAACTGTTTTTAGGCTCTTTACTCACATGTAGCTTGCTGGGCTCTGAACGTGGTGGCTGGGTATAGTCATGTGTAGCTTGCCAGTCTCTCCCAGAGCGGACATAGGGCTTATTTGTTGGAGTCGAGTCCTAACTGCCTCACATATACTGCCCTGGAAACAAATGTGAGAGGAACAAGTAGTAGAACGATAACCTTAAGCAGCTAGTGAAACGTGCCTCTTGCACGGGTTCACGGACTGCATATTTTGATTTAAATGCGCATTTGAGTTGCGCTCCAATGACAATGCCTGCCTGATACGCAGTAGTGACCGCGGTCGTGAAAGCAAATATTATAGAAACGAAAAACACATCCTGATGTTAGGGAAGCTAAAACGTTCCATGAGTAGTTTAACTTGTTGTTAAGTGTTATGCTTCGAGCCAATGAACATTGACTAGTGGTCAAATAAGAACAAGAAGGGAATGTGTAATCTTTAGGTGGCACTAAATGCATTTACAAAGAAAACTTTAGCTTGCTGATAACCATCATCTCGAATTCGGAGTATTCTCTTAGTCAGAAAACAGAATACAAATAACCTATTGGAGGTAGCATCGTTTGGATGAACAACATATGTGGACGATGTCCCAGAAAACTGGCTGAAATGAGGAATTAGGCGTCCCTCAAAATTTGAAATAGATTAAATAAACGCCACTACTTCATAAACAATATATATCATTCATGAGGTACCATGCCGTTTAACCAACCATTAATAGATTGGTGATGGTGTCCACTCGGGCGATGAATCGTATGTGGCGCACTACGGCCATTGCGTCCGAAAACGAAAGCACCATATATGATAACACTACAGCGCCAATGGGGTAAATAACTATCTCTGACTGCGTGGTGTGAAAAAATGCCATTTAAATTATTAACAATATGAACAGTAATATTTCGAAACCGACTTTCCTTGAACTTCGGTATCACTAATCAATATGTGTTCTTTCTTTGATGAGCTTACACGAGGTTGATAATGATGTTTATTTTCGGCTAACGTTTCGACGTCTTCGTCTTCCTCAAAGCCGATGATCCGAGTCGATGGTCCACGCTTGTTATTCGTCTCGACGTGGCAGCTTCGCCTTCGTGTCGAGTCAGGTCGTCAGTCAGGGTATCACTAATCAACTACCACTAATCAACTACCACTAATCAACTACCGATCACTAATCAACTACCGAGGTTCAAGGAAAGTCGGTTTCGAAATATTACTACGCTTTGTGCTAGCTGATAATAACACCGACTTCTGCACGATGTGCGCGATGATTACGTCCGGAAGAAAAACAAGTTGTTATCACCGGACATTATCATTATATCCACCATCAGCATCGTGTATAAAAGGGCATCACTGAGTAAGGATGCCTCATTCGAGGAGATGGCTCACTAAAGAAGACCTGACTCGACACGAAGGCGAAGCTGCCACGTCGAGACGAATAACAAGCGAGGACCATCGACTCGGATCATCGGCTTTGAGGAAGACGAAGACGTCAAAACGTTAGCCGAAAATAAACATCATTATCAGCCTCGTGTAAGCTCATCAAAGAAAGAATAAATATGAACAGTGATATACTACTTTCCAAACGAGTTTTTCGAAGCGCAATAATGTTAATCAATATGTATTTAAATCGTTGAGCGTACACGAGGTATTTCGACGTCTTCATCTTCGTTTTTCTTCCGTCTTTGAAAACAGTAGTGTTAATGTTACATTTGAGATTTTTCTGTAGAAAACGTCCAGCAGTAAACTTATTGAGAGCTTCCATTGAGTACTACAACAAAACAAATGCATAAAATATTAATGAAATTCAATGACAAAGGAACATCGTGACACTCTACGGCAGTTGTTAAATTGTTACCTTCTCGAGAGTTGGTTAGGCGAGTCCGAAACTCAGTTACTGGCATGGGTAGAATGTTTGAGCCTCGGACTTTGTCTACGCACAAAACCTGGATTCTTTGGATTCATTTATTCACAACATTCTAAGTGCATCACTGCGATTGAGAGATCGATAATTTTATGAGTGTGGAACATGTAAAATAGGACAGGTTATCCCTCTAAATTTACATCAGATATTTTTCAAAGTATTGATTATATGAAGGTAAAGTATTAATTACATCAGATAAGTTATGGCACTCGATTCATCTCCTAAAGTTCCACGATGTGTGTGAATTTCGTGAGTGTCACGGTTAAACACGTGTAGTCACGGTCAAACGAGTGCAGTTTCGTATTCCAGTCCGTACGTTTCCATCAAATCTGTGTTCATTTTCACAACACCTGGAAAAAGAAATGTTTTAAAGAAATGGTGGGTATCGATCGTATGGATCGAGAAGAAGAATGATGTCAGTGAGGTCGATGATAAATAATTTACAATTGCAGAGAAAACGACAACTGAATGGTCAGATGTTACGTCGTCATGAAAATTCTTAGGTGCTCATAATGACAATGTGTTATTTATGGCTTGCAGCAAAAGTATGATCGGTCGTACGATACGATTACTTGATACTTGAATGGCCCGTTCTCACTAGCTGTGCAGGCCCTAGCACAATCTGCATTTTTCGGAGATTTGCTGGTTGAGCCATTGTGGTTCCCTGGAATCCCGAGGTCAGCGTGGCCAAAGTCTGCCCCAGGTCTTCACTATCGCAGGCAGTCACAACCCTTGTGGATCAGCAGTAGATTTGCCACCATGCGACTTTGAAACCAAAACGGTGGCGGATCGTGGTATCGGTTTACTCCTAGCTAGGCTTCCTGATGGAAACGCCGACCTCGCTCTCAGCTTGTGAGACCCTGCCAGGAGATGAATCCCCCCGCTGTACACGCAGCCCAACACCCAGGAACACCTAGCCACGATGAGGCGGTAAACCGTTGACAGGACGATTATTGATTACTGTGCTAACAACTATCATCACGATTACTTACATCTGTTATGATTAACTACTAATGCTTTTCGATATACTATGACTTACTAATACTGATTGTATTACTAGATCAGTACAGCAGAGACATATTCTACGTCACTATGCTTCAGTCTGAATAAAGCAACATTGGTTGCGAGCCTATGCCTATCTTTTTATAAACTTTGTACTTTCTTTTCAAATCTGTTTGCAAAGCGTGCACCTTTGAGAGCTACCACGGCACCCATTTCCTTACCTGACTCTCCCCAGTGCTCGCCAAAACTGTTAACTGCAATCCAGTAGTGAGATCCGTCTTCAGCACGACCCCATCCAATTAGTCGTACGACGTGCCAGTAAATGATACGATTTTCGAAGTCATCATGAGGATATGGTCGGAAAATCCCTGTTTATTGTCTTAGTGAAAAGGAACGATGCATGATGAAGAATCATCAGAGAAATACCTGAGGAGTAATGTAAAAACTCTTCTGGCACAGGGAATGCCATCGTCATTGGGCCGAACAGGAATAATTCTTTTTTCAAAATAGTTCGAATCTGAAAAATTCTTTGATAAAAGTGGATGAGAATTCCCACTTCATCAGACCTCAATAATCAGAGCTGAAATGAGCACCTAAAAACCGTTTTTAACGATAGTGGTGAAAAAAAGACGGAAACGAACGTTAAAAAATTTCCTCTCATTGTATTCGGGACTTAAATTTATACAAAGTCAAATATGACCTATTTTGATGGTGACGAATGCACGCATTACTGGTTTAACGGATGCTCTCCAAAAACCATAAGTAGCCAACACAAGTGTTTTCGCTTACGTCCTTCTGCTTTGTTTTCTGTTTTCGTTTTCTCTGTTTTCGTTTATGTCTTTACACGCTTTCATTCTTCGTTTTCGCTTTTCTTCCACTTGCGATATGCGTAGGTACGCCGAAATTTATGGTGAGAATGAGAAGCACTTGTATACGTGGATGGGGCGTCCTCACGCACACCATGCAGGTACCCGCTCACGTTCCTGACCGGGAACAAATCCATCGCCGTCATCGAAAGCGTTGGCATATTCTAAAAGTCCACTCTACTGTTCTTTTCGATGAACCAGCCAGCTCTTCAGAGTTTACCTCGTGGTCCAAGAGTCAACCGTCTCTGCAACTGCTGCATAGCATAGTGCTGAGAGAATTTTGCGTCGAAAAAGTGAGGGCGGAGATCCAGGTCCATCATTTAAACGATGGGTTCTTTCATGGGCCATGACACCACCAATGCTACATTTTTTATCTGCGCATTTTTGCTGCTCTTATCCTTTTTTCCTCTTCATAAAACTCCTTGAGCATGGTCTCTTCTGTTCCACTGATACCCCTCAAAAGGATGACGATACCGTCAGGAAAACGAAGGTTTATTATGAAGCCGCCATCACTTCGTATATCCTTTTCATTCCAATAGTTCGACTCTATAGTCAACAGAAATGTGGCAGTGAGTACCTTGGCGGAATGGTGCCGCCTTGTGGGATTGATTTCCTTCGGCGATGGCAAGAGGTCGATGGAAAGGCTGCTTTGTCGTATGTTATAACAGTTAGCAATAAATCCTCTGTAATACTGATTTATTTATTGCTCGATGAGTGAAGGATGATGTCTGTTCAGTCACTGTCGAACACGTTTTCGTAGGCGATAAATGTTAAAACAAGGAGCAGACAATATCATGACACCTTTCTTCGACAGTAGCTGTGGTTTGGATGTAATCTATGTATCACAATCTCTATCGGAACTCTGCTTACTTAACTTCTTTCCTAGTTTACAGATGATCCGAAGATTTGCGTTCAGTAACAAAATAATGGCATTACAGAGATGACAAGGAAGCAATGGTTGTTTGTGAAGATGAGATCGATTCCTGATTCAGTCGATCCTTTTTGGGGCTATCGTGTCGAGTAGCGATTTTTCTTTTTTAAAAAAATTAAATGCGAGAGAAGACACATGTTGGGAACAAGATCATAGCAATTCAGTTTCCATTCTCATTTGAAAGATACGTACAACAGAAGCATCTTCCGCTGAAACCGATAACTTGATGAGAACAAGGAATTCACTGGACTTTGTTTTAGATGGGGTCTGCTTGATTGCCACGACTGGTTAACATAAAGACAAAAGAAAGACCATTATTCTGTCCCCAACACGACCATTTCTGAATGCTAAAACTGCTTGTAGTCTAGCTGTACAGCTAGGAAAAAGTGGTTCTGGGAAAAATGAATAAACTGAATAAATAAATAGGTGAACTCACTTGGTCGAGATCTAGTGGAGAAGACGCCGTCTCGTTGATATGACCTACGATAGTCGGCACTTGTACTTTCACATTTCCGTCATCTGTCACCGTCATGGTTCTAGGGTACATCGAGTATGGAAGCGTAGCTTAAAAATGAGCAGTAGTCAGCTATACATGCTTCACACTCACCCCTGGTATTTGATATACAGAATGATTTCTCTCATCGTACCACTATACCATTATGTGCTTAACATGTAATGTACTTAATCAGATTTCTTGAAATCTTTTGCGCCACGGAATTAGTTCCTGCCACAAACTGTCCTCAAGGGCTACGTACCCATTTCGTAATAGAAGGTTTTGCACTTTCCCATCCGGACCTAGGATGAAAGCACTCAACCCATCTGCATGCTATAGCCGTATCTCCTTTTAGTTGGCCATTGCGCTTTCTATATGTACGAAGTGATCCTCAGCCATATTTGCATTCGAACGTGGCACATGATTCGCCCATCCGCGAGTCATGTATTGGAGCAGTTATTGATTTGTGGAGGTATACCAATATCTTGCCTTACTTCCTACCTCATATTTCGTAGCATCGTTAATTTCTAACGTCTCACCTTAACACTATTTTAGAAGACGTTTTGCAATTGCTAACGCTTTGTTTTTTTCTATACTACCTCTAATTATGGACCACATTGTTGCTTATGTTCTTTATACTTAAGATTTACTATTGCCATTTCATTATTCTTGTACTATTACTGCCATACCCAAGCGGTTTAGTTGCCCAAGTTTGAGGTCTTGTGTTAAGAAGAAACTGAAGAAGCCCGAGTGGCGAAATCTGTCGCACAACAAAGAACTACCTTTACTTTAGGAATAGTGCTGAATAGCTTTTAGTACTTGCTACCGGAAGCCCCTTGTGTTATGAGCCGGGAATTTAAACTGTCACATTGGACGAATGCCACAGTTTTTTTTTTCGAAATTTATACGGATATTAAATAGCACCATATCCCTCGTTTCGTTTTATTTTTTGACTGCTTACTATCAGATCAATTTACATACCATAGTGCTTGTCATCATCATAGCTGTTATGGTAGTAAATATCTTGACATCGACGAACACACGTGCGGCTTTTTTCTGCCGCAAAGAAGGTAGTAGGCGGGCACGGAACACCACAGGATCTATCGAAGGAGTATGGTCGGCAACCATCGCGACCACCTGAAGTTGACGGTGGTAAAAAAGGAAAAAATTCAGTGACTTTCTGAAAGCTAACGTTTCCAACGATTAAACAATTAACACGCTCTCTATTGAAATCGTCTCCAAAAAGGGAACAATCAAGTTGATTTCACTTTCTAGTACTATGCGATTCCTCGTTTTTTTTTTGAAATTTAGACCATACTCTTCTATGAGTCTGTTCTTCATGCATCGCTGAAATATTGTGCATAGCATATTTGGTATAAATGACCGGATTTGCTGTTAATTCAAAAACTCCAATGAGTCAAGGCTACACTCATACTGGGACTGCAACATATAGTTAGAGGTGCGTTCAAACCCTACCAGTCACAATACCGTGCTTGACCCAATATATGAGCGCCTTGAGTGGGTCACCACCGTAGCAGTTACCACAAACATTGCAACAGCTTAACACGTCCTCTTCACTCAATGATGCCTTAAACGTTCCGTTCGAATGTATGCACGCCCGATCTGAGGCCACTCCAACAGCTGCCACCGCCTAAATAGGTAAATGATGTCTGATGTACACCCCGATTTGACTCCTAAAGATCGAATTCAAGTTGTAATTAGAAAGAAAAAGAACAAGGTTTTAAAGAATTTACCAATTCGCTCATTAAATAGAACAAGACGCCATGTTTGAGAATTTGTTTGTTTGAAGATAAAAGTAACTACTGTTTTACCAGCTGAACAATTGACACATTAACGAATTCTCAATGAACTCCTCTATATAGATAGACATCGAGCAACTTGTGTACCAAAATACCTTGTACCATGAAAATTTCCATGAAATGGACAGCTTAAGGAAAATGAAGAAGTTTATTTAATCGCATAAGAGTTATAGTCTCAGATCATTCGCCAACTTCTTAAAGTACTTCTTCTGCATAGACTCTAACCGTGGAGGATAAACATTACATTCTGAAGAGCTCGTTTGCATTTGTATTCTTAACGATGCCAACAATGTTCTTGTCAAATTATTGGAAAAGAGCGTTCACGAAGTCCGTTGATAATATGAAGAAGGAGTGCAAATCAGTTAGCAAATAACATTCCAGCAACAAAATGAGGCAGGGAGTCGAACGTGACTACGTAGTTTTTTACTACTTCTATATAAGCTCTGATCAAATCTTAGAAAGTACAATGGAAAATGAAGAATGTAATGCATCGTATTTTTTTCTAGTCTAAGCCTTGTTGTACTTCAAAGGAAGAATATTATGGAGTATTGGGTACAAAGTAGACATATTGCGTTACTAAAGTCACTATTGCATGCAAAAGCACTTATTAAAATTCTCGATTTTTGGAATACTCCTTCGAGTTTATTTGTTTTCATACAGAATAGTAATCTTTTAGGAAAGAACTATCCATAATCATCTATCGACTTTGTCAACTACAGGGGGACACTGCGTGCCGAACTGCGATGTACAACGACAGAAATTGCCTCAGCAGGGTTAGTGCAGGTTAGGGATTCGATATGTCTATTCAAGAGTTCAGCCAAGAGTAAATCAATGCCAGTGCAGAGTTTGGCGAGCTCCTCGTTGCTGTTTTATCGTTACGAGCAGAAAATATGAAAGCTTTACAAGAAGTGTGTTACTCTTCGTGTCCTTTAAGAAACCCACCTAGCACTTTTTGGCGGGCAAAAGGATCAAATGGAAGGCTTATTATTGGCGGCTCGAATTACTCTATGATCCACTACATATGATGCATGTAACATGAAATAATATTCAGAATGAACTTCTACCTTGTGAAGAAGAAATTCGTTTATATATAGAAATATAAGTGAAAATTTCACGTACATAACAACTTCCGCAGCCTCCCTGATTTGGAATTTTTGAAATCGAAGGGCATTGTGGCCACTTCAGTCGAGCATCAAAGTGACTAGGTAAGTCGGAATCCGAGAAGTTCACCAGCTCTCTGGAAGCGGCAAGGAAAAGTACCCCTTTTCAAGGAAACAGCGGAGTAGGCTGGCGTTCATAGCTACTAAGACGTTAATCTGTGTCGTGATAAACTAAAGTAATCTCCTATATCTTGCATAGCTGAACTAAAAAGGCAAAGTGAATCACTTAAGGTATCAAACGAGTAGAGAAGAAATGGAAAAAATTGCTGGCGATATTCTAAGAAATCGGTGTAAACCTCATTAATGCAAGAGCAAAGAAAGAAAGAACTCCATGAAAATGACAGATAGTAATTCTTTAAGAAAGCAAACCAGTCGTGATTTCTTCGAGTTCTAAGAAGGAGTATTTGCTAATCAACAAGTTTCGGATACTTGTTTGAAACGTGCTACATTACCCCAATTTACTGAAAACAACATGCGTAACTCAATCTCTAAGGTTTGTTTATATTGGCTCATAAGTTTCGAAAAATGTTTTGTCACAAGAGGATATTCACTTTCTTTACATAATCAATACTGATTTTGCTAGGTAGTAACCGAATTTTGGCCATAAGTGAAAATAGGTTACCCACTGAATATGCTCTTTCATTGCTTCCGAATCGAAGAACTTCTGAATCTGTTTAACCACCTCTTGGACGGCCGTAACGTTACGAGAGTACTTGAAACCGTACACCTTGTTCTTCACTCCGAATTTATTGAATTTTGCCTGAAGATGACACATTTGCTGTATTCAAGAAATATTCTGGGATCCTCCACAAGAACTACTGTACTATGGGGATATATCAGAAACTTGCAAATATGTGTTTCAATCTAGGCAACTGCAAACTTTACCCAAGTGTTAAACATCTCGTAGCTCTCCTATGCAATTTCGAGTTTTTTAAAAATATTACCCAAAAAGTGAGCAACTGTAGGCCCCTCCACTAGTTTCGGGAAATTAGCAAGCGGATCTACGTTGTAGACCTAATAACCTGTATCAGCAGTCTACAGGAAGCGTATAGCTCAATGGATAGAGGTCCTCTGCAGTAGACAGCAGTAGACATAGTTGACACGTGATCGTTAACTCGTTTCACGCTCCTGACCTACCTAGCCTTCAGGATTGGCAAATTGGTACGAGGCTTGTCTGGAGGAATATCATCACTGGCTCGGTAGGCCACCGCGAGTCATTGCAGAGGCCAGATATGCATTCAATCACCTCTAGTGATGCTTAGTGAAGTCGAATGAATGGGACATTCCTCAATAATTGATCAGTGACGACAGTTTTATGCTTATCTTTCTCTTCAGCAGCTATCCTTTCGTTAATCATCCAGTGACTGCAGATGTCAGTAAAGTTTCCATTTGCTCCTGTTACGTGCAAGAATAGCTAATTAAGTTCTACGTACTCTGAAGACTTAAAGATTATCACAACTTGTCTTCTAGTATCATCGTGAAGAAACTTGACTCCTGTAAAAGTACTACTTTAGCTACTTAACGTTCTGTGGCACCTAGTAGCTAGTGGCTCGAGCCTACGACTTGCCGCATGTGCACATGAGCCCGATCTATCCGATTTTCGACATTTTGTCGTGTACGGATCATTCATCACAGAGCTCTCTCAGAGAACACTCTGTTGCCGATTAGTCGCCTAACAATGCCGCGAATCCCTAGGTGGTGGATAGGGAGTTAGTAGCGGTGCAAATACGACCTTTGCTTTCCTGAAAAAGTGATGAATCCAGAGGACGGACCCTCTGTTTTTGCTGCTTCGATTTGATACATACTTTCCGCGTTTACGAGAACGTATTCATGCAAACATGGGCTTGTGTGTTCTCCTTTATGTGAATTATATTCTATGTGTCAATTCGGCTAAAATCCTGCAATAAGGTGATCGGGAAGCACATGGGAGGCGGCTAGAAGTCGCTTCAACAAATAAGATCCACTCTGCGAGTGGCTGGAATGCTAAGCGCGAGTATATTCAGCCCCTACTTTCGAAGTTCAGCAAGTCGCACATGGGTATCAAAAAGCTAAATGCAGTAAAATAAACGGGCTTCACTACCCAGACCCCAAGCAGCGCTGGGTAGGACGAATACGGAGAGGCTGCTGAAACCTCAGGGCCATTCTAGGTAGCCTAACTTGCAAAGGACTAAGGGGAGGATCTGTCTCTACAGTGAACACTCACTTGCTTACGAGTACTCGATGAAGGAATTGACCAAGCAAGCAAGAAAGATAGGCTACGACTTCATCGGATTGGCTATGATGAGAAGATGCCGCCCATTGAAAGCTTTCTATGACGTAGGAGAGGAACCGTTCTTCGGAACATGCAACAAAAGAACCGGTGGCATCGGCGTTCTCTTCAACACGAGTTTGGCAACGAACTTCGATTCATTCTCACAACTAACAACCCGAATCAGATATCTACAGTTGAAGATGTGTGGATCAGTACCTGTTTTAACAATCCTCGTCGTCCATTTCACCGGCATTAAGCTATGACGAAAAAGACATCCAAGCGTTCTATATGGACATGGAGAAGTTTTGCAGAAAAAACCATGCATTCTTGAAGGTCATCACTGGAGATTTTTACGGTAAGATTGGACCAAGGAGAACGTGTGAAGAACGCCATATTGGCACCCGCAGATTAGAACGGAACGAGCAGAGTGGCTATCTGAGTTTATAACGAAGACCAAGACCACTCATAGTAACTCGCAATTCCAGAGGCTCCAGGCTTAACGCTGGACCTGGGAGTCTCCCATGGAAAGTACCACAGCGAAATAGAGCACATCATAGTATATCGAAGGTTTTATCTTACCGATGTCGCTATTGTCCCAAAATTCTACACGGGATCAGACCATCGTCTCCTTCGAGCAAGATTCCATTTCTAGTGGAAAGGAGAAAAAGCCGCAAAATTCAAAAAACGGAGTCCAAAAACCACCATAAAGTGGGACTTATTCAACTCACTAGTCGGCTGTTGCGAAAATGCCTTTCTCGACGACATCGACGAAGAATACGATCGGCTCACTCAACATCTTCAGGTTAGCACTATGAAAACTGAGAGTTCGAAAGTCATCAAGAGACGTCTGTTTCCAGAAACATTCGAGCTGATACGCCAGCGTGGAATGGCACGAGCGGAGGGCAACCACCAAATAACGTTTGAACTTGCAAAACAATGCAGACAGGCGATAAGAGATCTTAAAGAGAGAAGAGCAGCAGTTATGGTCGAAGCTGCAGAGGCTAGGAGAAGCATTTGCAAAGCCCACTGAAGCATCGCCAATTATAAGACAATGATGATTCCATTCTGATGCCCAGACGGAACAGTTACAGCGACCAGAAAGGCAATAGAAAAAATCATCCATAAATACTACTCAGATCTCTTCGATAGCCAATAGATCTCCTCTTTCCCTCATATGAAATAAAGGAGGACGGATATGTGGCACCACGGGTTCTCCCTTCCGAAATCCATATGATATTTCGTCGGTGAAAAATAGAACAGCACCAGGTCCCGACAGGATAAAATCCGAACACCTGGACAACCTTCCGCCAGTCCTCATAAATCCACTGGCACGGTTCATCGCACGTTACCAATCAGAATGCAAGGTTCTAGTTCATTGGAAGTTGAGCAATACTGTGCTACTTTCCAGGAAGAGTGACCCGTTGATATCGGCAATTATTGCTAATTCTGAATGTTGTCTGTCGTGTATAAACTCTTCACTCAAGCCATCATAAAGAGAATTGACAGAACACCAGACGAAGGACACCAATGTGATCAAACAAGGTTTCGAAGAGGATTCAGTACGATAGACCACATCCACGCGATAATAAGACTCACGACAAGAAATACAGCAGAAGTACAAATGACCGCTCCATCTAAGTTTCATCGATTTAAATGAAGCTTTCAATTCAGATGGGAAGAAGCAGCCATGGAAACCCTAGATATCAGGAACTCCATACTCAATATATAGAGAATCTTTATAAACCATATAAAAATTTTACAACCAAGGTATTACCATTCTACAACAATGTTAGCATCGACGTAAAAAGATGTGTTAAGCAAGGCAATACCATCTCGCGAAAACTCTTCACCGCACCTTCGTCAATGTCATGCGAACTATGGAATGGGACAACGTGGGAGTGAAAGTCGATGATCGGCAATCACATCATCTTCACCTTTTGATGACATCGTTCTTATAACAATAAACAAACAGAAGAAATTGTTGTCGACTTTGATAAAGCCTGTGGAAAGATTGGTTTTCGATTAAATCTCGCAAAAACGATGGTCATGAGGAACGAATTGGTTTCGTATGCCCCATTCACGCTTAAAGGAACGAATATCTCCGAATGCTCCAGTTATGTCTATCTAGGTCGGAAAATCAATATGATGAGCGACCTAGCTCCAGAGCTGAGCAGAAGGAAACGAGCGGCTTGGGGAGCTTTCAAGAGCAACGAGGATGTAGTGAAGAGAACAAAGAACACCCGACTCCGTGCCCACCTTTTCGACTCAACGGTACTTCCTGCCCTAACATATGCGTCAGGAACCTGATCGCTGCGTAAGCAGGATGAGAGATCACTCAGCGTTATCGTGCGCGAAGTCGAAGAGACTATACAAGGATTGTCCTGTATCGTACAAGTGAGGGAAGGGATCGGAATCTCCAACCTGCCTCAACGGTCAAAAATCAAAGATGCTGTTCTATGCGCCAAACTGCGGAAGATATGATACACATAATGCGCATGAACGACAACCGATGGAGATGAAATGGGGTATCAGAAACAAATCTATTTCTCATGACTATTAGGTTCTTTAAATTCGATTGGTGACCAACATTCTCAAAAGCAGCGTCGAAACCTGTCGTTTGCTTGGCTAATGCTGAAGATGATGTAAATACGATATTCAGCAATACGATAATGAAGCCGCCATCTGTCGAGTTTTATTTCCACTTTCAGTTCCTCTTCTAGGTTCAGCTTTCGCGTGATCTTCTTCAAAGTAATGGTAGAGGATTTCATCGCCCTGTTGAAGTCTTGCTTTACGTCAATAATAAGGAGAGTTATGGTATGATAGAATTTTCGCGTCGTGATGCTGTTGTACACCTTATGAATAATCCTTATATGTCGAACTGGAATGCTTTCATTGCGCAGAGCTTCTAGAGAGCTTCTGACTCATATGATTCAGAAAGCCATTCTTAAGTGGATTAAAGTGAAATTGAGCGATTTCCTGTACTCTCATGATCCTTCAACAGGTCTCCTTACTGTGTCGTGCTGTCTGTGGTATTAAATTCTTCTCGAAAATCGACTTTTTCGCATTAATGTCTTTCATAAAGTACTCTGCTCCAGCCCTGTTGAGTATTGCTCCAGTAAAGTGGTTGTACACAACAGAAAGTAGACACACTGGCGCATGGCCCGTGATATAACGAGGGTAGCCCTTCATTAGAGGGAACGTTTGAGAAAAAAAAAACGTCTGATTTATTTTTCCACTGACTTTGAGCCTGTTTGGTATTCTGGCAAATAACTTGCGAAAAGCCGAATCAATGCGTTAATGAGGACTCGAAGTAGGTCGATCGAGTCAAATATTGTTTGGAGTAGATGTTCGTTCTGTATAAATTCAACACAAATAATAATTTTAGTACATCGTTTCATTAGAAATAAAAATAATTCGGTTTCGAAGAAAGAACTACATTATTTTTCAAGTGGGAGAAAAGAAGTATCGGAACTAATCCCGTAATTCTTTGAAGAAAAAATGATGTAGTGATAGATGACCACACC